CCCTCCTCTTCTTTTGCATCTCCTCTCTTCCCACTAGGTTAACTCGTTTCCTCCTCCATCTCCTTCGGTTTCCTCCCTTTTTTTGCCAACCCTGCTGTGAGCACTGTTCGTCTTGGTCTTCTCTGGATTAGCTGAACGCACTACCTTTTTTTCACTTCAATGAGGCGAGAATTGCAGATCAAGGTAGTGTTGCTAGCTAACAAGAAGTGAGCGAAGTGCGCGCGCGCGCATTGCTGGACTGGACTACTTCTCTACTTTTGACTACCACTAAGTTGCTACTTATTTACTGGCTGGGGGGCCTTTTTTTCCTTTTCCCCTCCCATCCTCTCTCCCCCCTTCGCTAATAACTCCGTTCCATCCTCCCTCGACACAGACCAGAGAGCAGCGGGTTTATCTCCCCTTTAGCCACACACATTCCGTGAAATACCACCTCTTCTCACGCCCCTCTCCTTCTCCCCCGACTTTCGATTCCTCCCTGGATTGCTGAAGCTTATCCTGCCGCCAGGCATCCTTCCAGGAACTGCGGACCAGCCGTTTTGAAGTGGGAATTCCGCAAGCAACGCCCGCCCCAGATTTCACTCCTTCTCTCCTCCGTCGCTTTGTTGCCAACTGCCATGATTTACCGCGCAAGAGACCTGATTTCCCCCCGTTTGTCGCTCATTTCCCGTCCTCAGGTCTCATAAGCTTAATCTCTATTTTATTTATACGATTTCTATAATCATCAATTCCATTGAAGTTCCAACTGCGCCCCTCCCCCCGGTTCTAATTCAGTCCCTATCCGCTCCTTCATCTGCGATCCAAATTCGAATACTACATACAATCAATCAATCAATCGACCGCCCCGCCGGCCGTGCACGAACACAAACACAAACACAAGCACAAACACATATACATATACATACACAGCTTCGGCTGCAAGATCTTCCATAAAGGAACAAAAGAACACCACAAATTAATAGAATAATAGGGCGCAAGCCATGCCGGGACAATGGTGAATAATCGGCCCGTTTCTGTACCTTCCGCTGTGATGTCCGAATCGACCTCGGCAATCCACAGCCTTCCCTACGATAAGACGGTTGCTGCGACAGTCCCAGCGACACTTCGATCTGCGTCGTTTTCCCCACCGAGTAATCAATCCTTTTGCTCAGAGGACAGATCCAATTCATCCAGTACCTCGTCCGCTGCCCCCATCGAACAAGCCCCACCCGCCCTATCACAACGGACCACTAGGCGCGGCAGAAACAGGGTGACAACCCTACCAGATGCTGGGGCTTCAACCGTGAGCTTGCGGTCATTGCGCAGTATACCCAGCATAATCGTTGATGATACGGCGTCGCGTCCAGGATCGCGTCCAGGATCTCGTCCCGGGTCGCGCTGGTCGGAACGTAGATGGGGTGGCTTAAGGGGTAGAAAGTCAGGGGATTTCGATCGGGATGAAGATGACACACCGCCTGTTCCTCCTATTCAAGCCCCGTTCAACGGAATCCCCTTGGACATCCCGAACGCCGCACTCGATGGCCTCGGACCGCAATCAATGAGGTTTTCAAAGCGCGGCAGTCTCATCAAGGAAGAGGAAAGACGTCAACTCCAACAGCAAATTCAGCAGGCGGAGGCAAAACAACGAAGAATCGCGCAGATGGAAGGGTCCGACCAACGATTACAGGAACATGTGCTGGAAGACGATAGCGATACGGCTTTGCCAGCCATGATTTCGCCGGATTTAAATGTCGCGGACGAAGAACCTTTGGACTCTCCTACGAGGCGCTCCAAGCCGCAAGCGACGCTTAGGGTGAGGCATAGCGCTGTCGCCAGCAGAGCCATCTCTGCAGATGAAGACATGCTGTCGCGACGAGTGCGCTTGATGTATGAGAAGGGCGACGAGAATGTGACGGATTCGGAGGTAGCAAGGTCCATGGCCGCGGAGCACGGCGTTCTGTGGGAAGACACCGCTCCCCCGAGCATGGAATGCGCCCGTCTGTCGGGACCCAGCGTGTCCGGGACGGATACTCGAAGTATAGTGTCATCACTTGGGACGGACGGTGTCCCCGGATTCAAGCGAGAAGCACACGAGCTTGCGGGAGGCATTGAGTATTGGCAGAACATCAAAGCTGGCGATGTGGACCGATACGGTTTCATTCGGTCCCCCACTTCTAATTCCAATGAAGGCATTGATCCAAGTCCCATTCAACGCGTCTCTACAAGCCTGCTTCTTGCCTCTGAAACCCCAAGGCGCAAGTATTCTATGCGCCCGCCTTCGGCAATAGGTCCCAATCATCGCTCCTTTACAGGCCGATCTCCGACTCGAAAATTATCCGAGCCGTCAATTCGTCCGTCATCTTCTCAAAGTACCTTCAGTTCACCGTTACGGCGTTCCACCACACGGTTTCGTCGGGCAGCTAACCATCTTCCTCACAACCGGACTCGTCGGGTCAAGGACGAGGCGGGCGACATGCTTACGTTACCCACGAACGCCGTCACTCCTGGGGATCGACAAGACTCAGCTGCTGCTCGCGCAGCAAGAAAGAAAGAATGGGAGAGAGAAGACAAATGGACGAAGATGGCCAAACCAATCAGGAGTAGTGATGGAGGCGGCATGACATTTGAGTTCGATACGACTAGCTCAAAGCTGATCGAACGGACATGGAAAGGCATACCTGACCGATGGCGAGCGACCGCTTGGTATGCCTTCCTAGAAGCAAGCGCCAAGCTGCACAGCAACAGTCCATCGAAAGAGGATCTCATTGAGGCTTTCAATGAATACCAATTAATGTCTTCCCCGGATGATGTCCAGATCGACATTGATGTCCCCAGAACAATAACCAGCCACATTATGTTTCGTCGCCGCTATCGTGGCGGCCAGCGGCTGTTGTTTCGTGTGCTGCATGCAATGTCTCTCTATTTTCCGGATACAGGCTACGTCCAGGGCATGGCAGCCCTTGCTGCGACGCTGCTTGCATACTACGACGAAGAACATGCATTTATCATGCTTGTTCGACTCTGGCAACTGCGGGGCCTGGAGCGGCTATATCAGTCCGGCTTTGCGGGTCTCATGGAGGCTTTGAGCGACTTCGAACGAGAATGGCTGGAGAAAGGCGAAGTCGCTGCAAAATTGGTAAGTGGCGTATACGTCTTTCTCGCACCGCGCGCTATGCTAATGCAACACCTATCGCAGGAAGAGCTTGGGATTCCACCTACAGCGTACGGTACTCGCTGGTATCTCACGCTTTTCAACTATTCCATTCCATTTCCCGCGCAGCTCCGGGTATGGGATGTTTTCATGCTGCTCGGCGACGCAGAGGATCTTACTGCGACTGGGTCCTCCATCAAAAGCGGTAAGAAGGCTCACGTCAGCGCATTTGGCAACGGATTGGATGTCCTTCATGCTACCTCGGCAGCCCTCATTGATGGTATGCGTGACATCGTCCTCGAGTCGGATTTCGAAAACGCGATGAAGGTCCTCACCAGCTGGGTCCCCATTAAGGATGTGGAATTGTTCATGCGTGTTGCCAAAACCGAGTGGAAAGTGCATCGTCGAAAAAAAACATCTTAATCGGCTTTCTCCCTTCATAACCGAGCCTCATCTATGAAAATCCGCGAGTCGCGGTATGAAGACCCCGGTGGCTTATGTCCCCACCAGCCCGACCTTTACAATCACTTTTTAAAACCTAATCTAATGTCTAGGTTTCTTCCTGAGTTAAGGGTAGCATGGCTGCTACCCTTTAGCCTGGGATGGAAGTCCCTTATAATTCTCTGATGACTCAAGCGGACGATTCTTGATGATTAGAAGTCGTTGTGCAATTAATCACATCTATACCTGTTTTCCCTTTCGATCCCTCCTTTGCCCGCTACTTCCTCCGCGTCCAGAGCGGACATAACGGCGTCACCTCTGTTGTGACTCTACAAACTTCCCACAAAGCAAATCCGCCCTCGGGCAATTTCTTTTTCCTTGTCTCCCCCAGAAGGTCAATCTCGTCCCAGCACTCACTGGACATGCTATCCCTTTTCAGAGACAACCCACTTCTCACAGGAGCTGTTTACACCCACTCACACTCTCATTATCACCACTGTATCCGACCCCACTCGCATCGGCCTCCACATACTCATTCTCTATCATTTCTTTTCCTATAAATGTCTCTGCTATACATCCACCTTTTTTATTACTATGTTACTACTACTACTCCTCCTCCTCCTCCTCCTCCTCCTCCTCCTCCTCCTCCTCTGTGCTATTTATATCTTGCTTATTATTTTTTTTTGTTCTCCTCAACCCTCCATGGATACTAATCACTCCACCTTACCTGACCTATCTATATACATACATACACACATAATTCAATCAACGCTGTCATAATATCCCACTCAATATACCTCTCGTCCTAGCCATCACCAGCTCAGCTTTATGTCTTCCATCTATCTTCTCGACACTTCGGGATTCGAGGCAGGAAATTAACCCCAGCGGCACTTCCTCGCGATTTGCTTCAAGTCACCTTTGACTCCCTGTTGTATATTTTGCACGATTTGCACGGTTTACATTTTTGCATTTTTTTGCATGATTGATCCTGGCTCCAAATCTCTCTATTTCAATCCCCAACGGGATGAATGACTCAAGCATCCATCCCAGCTGGATCTAACGATCCTCGCCCTTGCATTCATCCATATGATGATCCGAAGCATACTTCCAACCTCTGCGCCAAGACTAAAAAAATCCCGTCGCGTCTGCCGTCATCGAACGTCCCATCTCGAGGGAGAAATAGGTAACTCTCCAAGTGGCACTGTGCACGATACTCACCCGCCAGGTTTCTCGAGATCCTATCACACCCGATGCGCCTGGTCCAGTCCTAGGGCAGGGTAGCAACACGTAGATAACGACTAGTATACTTACTCTATGCGCTCGTTTATAGTCCTTCAATGCCACTTGGGCATATGACGGTATGAGTCACGTGATATTTCGACCTTTACGGGAAAAGAGTGAGCAGAAAGACGGAATAGGGAAGGTACGACCGGGAGGGTGCTACAAGTAGTGTACAGTCTGGCTCAAGGCACAAGAAATGGAACAGCACACAAAGAAAGAAAGAAAAAAAGAAAGGCCATTTCTAGTCTTTGGTATCATAAAACTCATCTGATCCGATGGACACAATAGGCTTCGAATGCAGAGAATATACAAGTCGCTTCCCAAGAGATATCAGCTTGAAAATTAGATAGACCACAGCAATATTACAGGGTGTTGTAGGAAGAGACTAAGTCACTCATGACGACGACGACGACGGGTGCCTCTAGTCTTCCCGGGACGGGATTAGGTGGGATGTTTGGGGTCACTTGGCCTCGTGACGACAGGTGAGCCAGGATTCCTCGTTGATCCTGGATCAGGTAATGTGCTCTCAGCGACTGCGCCTTGCCGTACGTCTGGAGGTCTAATTGAAGAAGGTTCCGCCCCGGACGAGTCATCTACAGCAGGAGCATGCTCCTCACGGTGCGGGTCCGGTTTCGGGTCTTCGGTGGCCGGGTCGGGGCTGGGGCCACGACTTGGGCGGTCAGGTCTCGAATCCGCCACATGAAGGTCATAAGTCGACAATGCCTCAGTCGACATCATCGGGCGAGGTTCTCTACCCGTCGGAGACCCTGGCCGGGAGGCATAAACATTGCTACAGCCAGGAACGGGTTCCGGCCCCCTCGATGAGGGCATCGGAGCAGGAATATGAGGGCCGCTAGCTTTTCTCTTCAGTCCGGGAGAATTTTGGGACTCGACCCGGCGTGGTCCCTGCGTCGCCCCGGGCGACTCCTGGCGAGTCCGCCCTCCCAGTTGGTTGGCTTGCGGCTGTCCTGGTGGCACCCAATGGTGGAAATACAGAGATGGTGGAGAAGGACGCGAAATAGAATCTGACTTGCTCACTGCCGACTGTGTGAAAGGTATGGAAGATCCAGGAGCGTAGTGCACATGACTGAGGTTAATATGAGGAGGAGGAGGAAGAGGAGGAGGAGGATGATGCTGGAGCTGCGGCTCGCTCGGAGGCATCCTCGGAACGGACGGGGGCAGTCGAGTATCAACAGCACCGTTTGTGACCGGTGGCGGCTGCACAGTCGGAGGCGCACCCACGGGGTGCAACGGTTGGGACAGCAGAATGCCCGGAGGGGGCACAGCCTGCGCTGGAACTGAGGGGGCGGTATAAGGGTTCAGGGGAAGCGTGCGGGAATCACGTCGGACGTGCGATGGCCGTCGTTGGGCCTGAGTCGGTGCATGTGACATAGCCGGCATCGAAGGAGCAGATGTCCGCGCGGGAACCGGTTGGGCCATGTGTTGTTGAACCATCTCAAGAATGGAGGGGGGCAGCCCGCCGGGACTGATACCCGCGAAGATCAGCGGAATGAGGTGCGGCGGAATTCCGGCCTGCAACGCATCGCGCAGCATGCTCTGTTCGAGCCTCCGCTGCTCCAGTCGCAGAGACTCTTGGCGTGTTTTCTCTTCTTCCTGCTTCCTCCGATCCTCCTCTGCCTTAGTTTGGAGCCAGTGGCGCATGGAGTCATCGGAGCTCTGCCATTGACTCGGAGGCGGCGGGAGGGTTTGATTCATTGCATTGGCGGGGCCAGTGCCACTTGCGAAGCCTAGGTTTGGCGGCGGTAGAGTTAGGGAGGCCGCGGGCGGCAGTCCGCTACGAGAATTGTCCATGGACTTGTCTGCAGACGATCTCGAAGGCGCTGTGGTCGTTGACAGATCTGACACTGGAGGTGGGGAAGACCGTGGGGTAGGAACGGACTGGCGAACGATGGCGTAGTCATGGGGCCCTTTGACCCCGTTCTGCGACGAGGGCTTCAGTGTGAGCAGCATCCTTCCAGGAACAGCGCCGCTGAAGTAGTAAGAACAGGTAAAGATTGAGCAGCGAGCAAAGGGCGCGACAAGTTTGAACCGAGCTTCGAGTGGAGATCGATAGGCAGCACCGATAAGCACGCAGGTCGAAACAGCTGTCAAATGAAAGCTTGCAACAACACCCAGCTCGCAGCATCAGACAAGTTCAGGAGGGAAGAGGGAGGTGGGGAGCAGTGAGGGCGAAGCACGACAGCATCGTCTGCCTGGCTGGGAGTGTTGAGAGATAGAAGAGACCGGAGCAGGTGAAAGGAGATATATGGAACAGGTCGAGGACCAGAAGAGAAATGAAGCAACGGAACTAGCAATGGAGCATTCAATTGCAAGGGTGCAAGGATATTGAAGGGAGAGAATACAGCGAGATGCGGAAGCAAAGCAAGAAGACAGCCAGGGTCAATGACCAACAATGAAGACGAGGAGGAAGAAGAAGAAGAAGAACTGAGACGACGACGAAGACAATAATAATAATCATGGATGCACGGCAGACTCAATCATCGCCCAAACAGGATAACCCCCAAATGGGAAAGACACACTTACCCAAACAGGGCTGGTCCCCGCGTAGACTAACCAGATCGGGAAGAGACAGTCCCCAGATATCGATGCCTCAAGATGCTGGCTGTGAATTTGTTGATGCCTGAGAAACGCGGGATGGGAAGCAGGAATAGAACTTCGGAGTATGAGAAGGAGATAAAAGAAAAAAAGAAGAGGAAGAGGAGGAGGAGAAGAAGAAGAAGAAGAAGGAAGGAGGTAGAGGCGGGAACTGGGTGAAGCTAGTAGATTACTGATTCTTCACCTACAATAGATTATATAAAGTAAACGGTTGCCAGTGGAGTTCCCATCGCTGCAAAAGGATTAGTTGTGGCTTCATTGCGTATAGCGGCCAGATTTGCTGACGACGAACCGCCCGGTGCGACTCGTCATCCCCAATTCCTACTCCGCTGCTCTTTTCGGCTTTATCCCCTGTATAAATCCTATCCGATATCCGCCCATTCGAGACATGCGGTTTCTCTTAGTATCTCGGCGTGCCTCGTCTAGATTGGCCAAATCTCTCTGTAAACCGGCCTGGCCCGTTTCAGTAACTCCACTGCTCATCCCCATCTCCCTTTGCTACTCAATCTGACGGCCTTACGCAACCCGCTTCCAAGGGACCGCTTGGCATGTCATGCTACTCATTATCAGCTACTCCTACTCAGTACAGACAAGTGCATGAGTAACGCCACGTAGGGACGGAATAAAGAAAAGGCTTAGATAAAATGTATATACTCGAAGAAGGTAATCCCAGGGTATCCCGATTCACAAAGCTGGACGGCTTCGCACTCACCCAATGCGCTTTTTTGTGATCCTCACCCGTCGCGATCGAATCGACTGAGTACCTCCGGCGGTACTGTGGGAATGTATTTACGCGCCCGTTCGCGGTTAGTACCTCCCCATCCAGCCCCGTAGCTTATCAACATATCCGTGCTGGTGGGTAAGGAGAAGGGGAGGGTCAAAGACGGATCTAAAAACACCCCATGACTGCCGGCTCGCTCCTCCATCAGGGCCGGCCGTGGAGATGCGAAACTAGATCCTGGAGATGCCACCGAGGCGCGCGTCGAGGCGTTAGGAGAGGTGGCCGCATCGCCCGTCGTTGTCGTCGCCGGGGGCGTCTGAGGACGTCCTCCATCGCTAGGGGCTGCCGCCTGCGCCGCACCTCGTTGCTGCTGGGCCGCTTGAAGCTTGGCATGCTCCCGGTAAAGCAGTTCCGGGTCGCGCTGCAGCTCAATAAGAAATTTCATCGCTTGCTTGGTCAGTCCTTTTTCTCCAACCTCTGGCCGATACGACTTGACCGCATGCAGAAGTTGGGCGGGGGTTAGTTGCTGCAGTTGAAGGAGCGTCGTCACTAGCGACTCGAAGTCATCTCCCAGCGAGGAGAAGCACTGCAGCCATTGCAGGAGCTGGATCACCGGGGCGAGATGCTTGCGCGCAGCGTCCATAGTGCACTCCCCCGTGCTGGATGTCGAGCCGTTCTCGTAATGTTCCGGTTGCCGATTGTTGTTCCGGGCCCAATCTTCCAGCGTGGAGACGTTCATGCGAATCTGCATCGCTTTCGTGCGGGCCAGGTAGCGTTTGGTACTCATGATTCGATTGAAAAGCTCAGCGCCCACCCAGTACAAAAGCTGAGAGATGATCTGAGTGATGATCACCGAGTGAACATCGTACAAATCGAGGACAAACAGGGTTGATGATAGAAGGGACGTGATATTGCGCGGCGAGACCTGCGCACGCCGTCGCGGAGATGGTGGCCGGAAGCGCTTCTCCACCGGCTCGGGGGCTTTGGCCTTGGATTTGGGTCGAAATAGCTTCCATTCATTCTGGAAGTGTACATCCTCCAGGCCCGGAATTGTCTCGTGATCGAGCATGGCCGAGTCGAGAACCTTATTCATGCGACGCTCAGCATCGCGAATGATCAGAATGAAGATCTCATTGATCAACTCGGCCAGGTGAAGCTGGAATTCCACCGTGGCTTCTACCAAACCGGCATCCTTCTTCAAATAATGAAGCAAAAGAGTCGCATTCGACATCCAGAAGGCCAGGATTGTCATGTCCCATTGATGGCGCTCCACAACGTCGTTGATTTTATCGGTCGCGGAGACCAAAAGAGTGGCCAGCAGTTCGGGGCTGGCGTGATAATGAGCGTAACGAGCGCTGAGGAATAAAAGGTTGGCGGGCACCGGCTTCTGTGAGGGTGATCGCTGGGGCGTCATGTTCGTGATGATGATATTCAGTATTTTTTCGAGCTCATTGTCTTGGAAGACGAACATCTGGTCGTTCAAGCACCGGTCCCAAACGAACTCTTGTTGCTCTTCTTCCAAATCATCGTCGTCTTGCGACTATCAATACAATCAAGAGATAATATTAGCCATAGTATCATCAGCGAAGAATATGCCATCCAACTTACGTCAAATTTCTCGTCCAGCCCTAGGCTCGACAGGTCTACCTCGAGGTTGATCGCACTCTCTTCCATCATCATACGCCGCTTCATTTCGTTCTCTGCAATCTCCTCCTCGAAGCGACCATGGCCGAACCCGGAGTCATAGAAGTCGTCTTCGATGGCGCTCGGTCCAAAATGATATCCATTTTCGTGCAGGTACTCTGAGATCTCACTTCCCGGCTGGGCAAAGTCAAAAGCCGTCCCACCTGATGAGGATTTGATGTCCGGAGATGCGCCGTGGTCGAGGAGAATTTTCGCTATTGTTTTATGTCGGTTGGTCATCGCCCACATTAAGGCACTCCACTGATTGCGGTCCTGCTGGTCGACAAGGGCCCCCGCATCAAGCAGGGCCGACACGACATCCTGATGTCCCTACACCGAACAGTCAGTCTTATTTGCACCGCGCCGTGAGCCAGCGGAGGAAGGGTAAGGGCCACGGAACATACAAAGCAGCTAGCGTAGATAAGGGGTACTGTGCCCTCTTCATCTGGCATGTTGACATCTACGTAGTCTTTTGCTTGCCCTTGCACCAGCCTGCGAACACGTTCCACGTCGCCATTACTCGCCGCCATATTCAAGCTCCGCTGTAGGATGTCCCGCTTCTCCGCTTCAGTCAGCTTTTCATCGGAGGCGATGGCATCTTCGTCCGCACCGAGCGAATCCACTTCCCGGTGTGCCGCTTGCGCAGCAAGCATCTCCATCAACCGGGCATCGCTATCCTCGAGGCGAGCTGTGATTGTAGATTCGTTGTCGTCGTCTATGGCGGCCGCGGCAAGACCGCGTCCGTACTGAGCTTGAAGGGCATGTTCCTCGTCATGCGTGTGATCATCGAGCGTGAGGCTGAAGCTTAAGGGTTTGGCGGCTACGGGGGTAGTGAGGAATTGCGACTGACCTGCGGTGTCGCATAGATGTTAGCCATTTGCTATGCGCAGGAGGGCGGGGTGACAGCTGCGGAAAGTTGCGCAGCCCGGAGAGGGGCGCGAAGGAGGGGCAAAGGAGGAACAAGTAACGACGCACCTTGCCAGGCATCGTACATCTCCGTCTCGTGCTGTAGGACTGGCATAGAACGGCGGTCATCCAAGGACTTAGGCAGATCATCGGGAAGCGTGCGGACGTGAAGGTCTGTCAAGGATGGATCGCTATGGTCGAGCTCGTCCGACACCCCGTGGGGGGAGTCGGGGTCGTTCATGACGTTTGAAGGGGCGATGACGGCGAGGAACGGAGTCGCAAAAGAAAGGAGGAGAATCCGAGTAGAGGAGGTATACTAACTCTCGCTCCATGGAGGAGACAGCCTCAAGACTGGTTGGTATGGAGGACAGCCTCCTTTCCCCGGTGGGTCGTCTTCCCGTCTGTGAATGAGATGGTCTCGATCCGGATGGAGGGGGTTTTGCGAGAGGAGCGGTATATGCTGTAGAGAGAGGAAGTAAGTGATTGTGGAGAAATTGCCTCAATAGAAATCGAGATCTATGAGACGAGTATTGGAGAAGGAAAAGAATAGAGAAGGGGAAGAGGAAGGGAAACGATGAGGGAGAGAGATGACGAGTGTTCAGGCGGACGGGCGGGCGGGCGCAGTGGAACCCTGGGAAGTTCCTGGCTGGCCAAAAAAGAAAAGAAGCAGCCTGGCTCAGCAGCTAATGTTATTATTATCCACTTCCACTATGAAACTCCCATGCAAGCTCGCTCCGCCACTCAGGGCATTGGGTTTTAATTTAGATTGCTTCATTTGATGGTTCATCCAGGCGAGAAAAAGAACAGACTAGAAACGAAAGGTTGAAGCTCCCCCTTCTCCTGACAATTGACTTGACAAGGTTGATAATTGTGCAGACATCATCGCATCATAATTTGAAACTATGCTATGCCTTTCTCCTTTCACCCCGAAAATATAATCAGATAAAATAAACCCATAATCAGAATCAGATATGCAAAACAACTGTCGAATCCCGAACGCACCCGATGCAGAATTAGTATACATAGAAGCAAACATACATACATGACAAGTAGATTTTCAACACCCATTTTGTCCATGGCCCAACAACGCGATCCAGGGTATCTTGGGGGGTATTAGGTAGTTGGCGCAACATGATCACGACCGCTCCATGCAATAAATCAATCCATCCTCCCAAATTATTATAATTGTCATCTCGTTAAGTTTGATCGTGTAGCGACATGGTTCATCATATGTCAAGCCGTAAATAGTGTTTATTCCAGCTGCTTGCTGCGCAGCTGGACTTGCTCTTCGGAGAGCGATGCGATCCACAGGCAGCGTTCAATGATACCCGGGATCGGGTCAAATTTATACTTAGTGCTGGAGTCAATTAGGCGAAGAAGACTCTTGACTATTTTGGCCGTGGTACGGTAGCGTTCAAAGTTGATCAAGGGCTCTCCATCGTATGTGGTCACCTGCGCCGGTTTTTGCGCATTGTAAGTGAGATCATGGACATAGAGACCTGCATTTTGAGTGATCAGCCACGTTCTTCTTGAAAGAGATGGCAGTGCCCTAAAGGACAACTTACCGACAAACGGAATGCAGCCATCCTGAGCATTGGCCGTTTCCATCTCCACGCGGAGGTCGTGGAAGTTGCGAATGGGTTGAATCAGGGATTCCATGTCCTTCAATAGGTGCTTATCGGCGGGTGGAACCAAAGCCCACGTGCTCTGCAGTCGGGAGCAGTCGGTGGAGGATAGCGCAATGGCGATTTGGAGCATTGTTGCGTAGTTGCACATCCGCCGGGCGTGAACCGCTGTATGAATGAATTTGGCAATCGTCCGGGCCCGCTCATGTATATCGAGGGTAAGAACAATTTCGGAGAGCACCCATTTGACCATCAGGTTGAAGCGACCCACTACCAGATCAATGCCTCGACTTTCTCCTTCCTTCAGAAATTGGATCCAGCTGAGTGCTGAGGGTGAACCGCTGCTCCATCGCATATCGATCAGGTCCCGCCAATCTACCTCGCTCAATGCGGCCATTTCCACCAAGGTCAGCTGTTGAGCAAGAACGTGAGACTCGCAAGAGAGAACAAATGGCACATGATCGGGTTCAGTGTTGTTCAATAGGGGAGGGAGTTGGCGGTTCTTTTCGGAGCGGGAAAGGACATCGCCGGATACATGCTGCACATCAAGGGCTCGTCCACCTGCTTGCTCCGCGACGTTTCTAGGAGAGGGATCAGGCGTCAGGGGTTCTGTTGGAAACAACACCGGATTGAGAGGCGTAGCGCAAGAGATCGAGCGAGTGTTCTGGATGGTCATCGGAGGAGACGGCGGATGGGCAAGAGGATGAGTAGGAATTCCCAGGGACACATCGCTCAGCCTGTATGTATCGAGAGATAGTCGTTGCTCCGTCGCTCCTCGTGTCTCGACTAGGTCCATGGAAATCTCGGAGGATAATCCTGATAGGTGCCCGAGTTGCTTGTGCGACTCGTGAAGAACGGTAGGAAGCGTAGAGCCTCGCGGGATACGATTCAAGCTCTCAGTCTTCTTTACAATATTAAGGGACGAATGGGATGAGTCCACGTCCATTGTTTCTGGAATAGAGATGTCGCTGGCTTGCATTCGAGATGAGCCAGCAGCGACTTTCGACGATGGTCGACTGGCTGGCTTCTTCATTGAATCATCACTCAAGCCCCGCTCGAATAGCGGGATTGAGCTGTAAGAGTTCTCTGTTTCTGCCACCGAGCGGGAATTGCCCCGACGATGAAAAAGGTGTCCCTGTATCTGTGAGTAAGTCAAGCTGTCTCCAAGGAATGTCTCGCGTCGCCCGGCTGCGTTGGCCGAATTCGGATGATGCTGCGCAGCTTGGCCTTGATAACAGCGATCCTCTTCGCAAACACCACCCAGAACATAACCTTGGGCACAATCCTCTGTTCCAACGGGGACAGCTTCATGGTCAGAATCCGGTTGACCTTGCCACTTGCCCTCCAGCTTCAGCAAGGCTGATTCTACACCTCCATCTCCATCATCCGGGATTTGCGCGAATTGAGCTATGGCAGCCTCGAATGAGCGCCGCATGTTTTGAGACGAATGTGTCGTCATCAGAGAGTATCGCGGGTTCGGTGGAATAAGACTTGTCTGAGGTCTGGAGTCGAGCTTCTCCAGTTGAGTATCGAAACTGTCCGCACCAGAAGTGCGATAACTCATATCAGACAGCATCAATTCAGAGTTAACCCGAGATTGGGGACAGCTCTCATTCCGCATTTGACGAAGGTCTCCGCCAGGGCGCCTGCGAAGCACTGGCCCTGCAGGTCTATCCACTTCTTGCCGCGAGTGTTGTTCCGGGACGGGGACAGCTGGCTCACTACCCAACGTGAGGCGCAGCTTGGAGATCCCGCTTTGAAAAGACGCATACTTACGCAGGCGCAGCGATGGCGAGGTTTGTTTCCAATATGCTGATTCGCGTTCGACTGAGTATGATCTACGCGACGTATTTGAACCTGAAGGACGAAGAAATTTGGATGCCCTGGTGGAAGGGCCAGACTCGCTTTCGTCGAGGTAAATTGGAAGTGAGTACTCGCCAGTGGCTAGAGTCGACCGTTGAGAGTGTGCGAGCAAGGATGGAGCCCTCAAATTCTGTGAGGAGATCTCTGTATCCAAGAATCGAGGAGCTTCTTCGAGGCCCGCACTCGAATCGAGGGCCCCGGACATCATCGGCACCGCAAGGCCAGTGCCATCCACAATGACAATCGACTCACTACCTGTGGTTAGCTGACTGTTCATTCTGGTCAAACCGGGTGTGGCAAGGTGAGATTCTAGCTCATCAGCCGTTCCAGTCGGATGTCGTGGAGGCAAGCCGACTGGCTTCGTCTCCGCTCGGTCAGTGACAGCTGCACGGTATTGTCGTAAGGCCTCGTCACACAGCGTGTCAATTCTAATACGCCGTTTCGTCGCCGCAGTTGCTTTTTTATCACGGTATAGATCGGAGCCAAATGCAACATTATTGGGAAGTGCCGAGGTCCTCCCCAGGTAAGAAGTGTTCGTTTGTCCCTGCGTGGTGCGAGAACCGCCAGGTCCTCCATGACGACTGTGTAGAGCGCGGCGAATGGATCCGATGATGGTTTTTACACCGGACCCGGAAGAGCTAGGTTTGGCTGTTGCGTTGAAAGTGCTTCGTCGATTGGGGGATTTGTCTCTAGCAGACGATGGTAGAGGAGGGGATGGCGGTGCCATCATTATCGTGTACGACTCTGCCGGAGGGTAGAGTTCGCCGCGTATCAATTTACCTAAATTGAGCAGCCCATATGAAGAACAGGTAGGGTGCTGTCCCGGGGATAGGAACGAGAAAGGTGCGCGATCATCTCTGACAGAGTCGGAAAAGCTGCCGCTACGTTTGTGTTTATGGCCCGAATATGGATGGCGACGGGCACTTAGAGGTGAAGAAGGCAGTGCATCCCGAGAGGATGTCAGTTTCAGGGGTGCAAGTGGTACAAGGTGGGGCGCTTTGTTCGAGGTCACGGCCAAAGAGAGTCGTTTCGGAGATTTGGGCGGCAGAGAACACGAGGTCGCATGAATGCTGCGGTCACTCATTGTAGTTATTGGGAGACTCCCCGTCGTGGTAGCAGAATTGTTGCGCTGGTGGTGACTAGCAGTGTGAGAGACACTACGTTCAAGACCAGCCTCCATATTGAATTCCGGACCACCAACAGCCAGCATGGTATTACCACTGGTTTCCAAAGTAATATCACCCTCGCCTCCGCCCGGCCTGATAGCAATTTCTGGGCTGTGGAATGCGACATGCTGTTCGGCGGTGTCCCAGTAGACTGAGCACTTGCCATACCAGCATCTTTTGAGGTCAATGAGAATTTTTAGGTCACTCATTCCTCCTCCTTGCCGGGCCTTCACATCAGTGTACATGCTGTTTATCATCTCGCAGAACGATGCTCGTAAGCTGTAATCCGGAACAAAATCATCCGCGAAGTAATTCAAAATCCAGTGTCGAAGAGCGGCAAAGGTACGAATTCGGATGATTCTGCCGTCGTCCTGTGGTCGATTAATTGCCCATCGGAGCCGAGCTAGTAGCAGTGCCAGGAGTGTGCTAGGGGCAAGGTAAGAACGAAAGGTGAGAAAGAAGTCCGAGACAAGCTCGTAGTCCATGAAAGAGGCCGAAGATATCTGTGCCACGATTCGTGCTGGGGTAGCAGCGCTGATTTCTTTTGTGCCGGCAATGTAGCGCACAACCGATTCTTTGTCCAGTTCCGAAGCCAAGACCTCAAAAATTGAAGGTTCTATAGGCTCTTTGGGCTCGTAGAAGGCCGAGTACTCGTTGATTGCCGCTCCCTGGGGCATCTCAATGGCACCGGTTCCAGAAAAGAAAGAACCAACGAAGGAGGGCCGCATTGGGTCACAGATATAAGCACTGGACGCGGCAGTGCCGATCCAGTAGTCTCGGGGGATATTTGAGGCGCGCATGTCAGTCGATAGAGATGTCCTCACATATACTGAGCTGTGAAGCGGTGCTTCATCGTCGAGGTTTGGTGGCGACCAACCCAGATGGTATGGAGTAAGGGCGCTCTCCGATGGGCGGCGTAGCGGTTCATCAGCAGTTCTGGGTCTGTCGGCTGCTTGATCGATGAATATCTGAAGCTCTCCCAGGCGACCTGCACGTAGCTCGGACCATTGCTCGGAGACCGTGGAGAAAGAATGCGCCTTACGAGGCCGAGGGTGGAGAGAATGATGGTGTTGAGAGCTCGCTGATTCTGTGTCGACCGACTCGTCATCCTCGGGGTCTTCCTCCGGAATGAGATCTGGGCGGAGTTCCGAGAGCTGGGAGTTCGACCACCTAGAGGGCTCGATCCCATCGCGCCCAGTATGTGCGTGCGGCTGCAGATGCTCTTGGTGAGTTTTGCTCCGAGAAGGAGCGGAAGGCGCCTGGAAGGGTTCTTTGATCGATGGATTGTGAATCGGCCTGCAAGGCAATGAGTTGCAGGGGTTAGCTCCTTGCCCATGAGATCAACATGGCCGGATTCGGTCAGCCGCGGACAGACATTACCTGAGAAAAATGGTCCCATTCTGGCCAACATTACCCACTGTGAAATGATTGGGCTCTCTGGATGCTGGCAGGGAGTCGCCGGCGGCCTTAGAGGGATTGGCCCGCTTAAAGGAGCGCTTCCGCAGAAGTTCATGACTATCTTTGACGCGCAGAAAGGAAGTCGCTAACTGCTCACGGATTGTTTTGGTGTTCGCGGTAGGTTTGTCCTTGGTGTTCGTGCCGTGTGTTACAGTGTGGGCGCGTCGAAGATCGGATGTCGTGTACCGGGTATCTGCATCTCCATATGCGGTTCCCTGGAGCTCCGGTTCGACCCACGTCGGACAGATGCTTGTCTGCAGCTGACCCGGGGTTCTTGCAGCCTCGCTTGAACTAGACGCCATGGCAAAAGCACCCTCCAATCGTAGACGTGTGGTGAGCGACCTATATCAGACGAGAAAAGCTGTTGTTCCACTGAATTGGTGGACAGTCGCGATGGCTAGCAGCGGCAACCTAGCAGGAACGAGAATACAGGGACAGTCCACGTTGGGATCGCAATAGGTGCCTGCGAAACGACATGACCAGGAAGCGTTCACGAGAGAGGTCGTTTATCAGACGGAGTGGAGATGGAGGCCGAACATTGGTGAATTCTGTCTGCCGTAGCACGAGAGAAGCGCGACAGTCGGAGCAGTTTCGGCACTGAGGCGGAAGGGGAGACAGCCTAGTAGCACGTCCGGGGCGATTACTGTATGTACGTAACCGGGGTTCTTGGTAGATAATAATAGAACACAAAGACCGTGCCTGAGAAAGCAGAAGCAGAGTCAAGTGTCAGAAGATCAGGGGAGGGGATAAAATGTGGTTGAGGCTACCAACAATCGAAAAGAAAAGATGAAACGCCAAAAGAAGAAAAACAATAATAATGATAGCAATCGTAATAATAGCGACGGCAAAGTTTTAACAACCGACCGAGGATAGCGTGCAAGAATCTAAAAGGAGGGAGAGAGATACGTTGGAGCGCACACGGGCTGCTTATGGACAGAGATGGTAAATAAAAGAAAGATGGATGGATGAATGAAGGAATGAATGGTGGAGGCGGCGGCGGTACTAGGAGTAGTGTGGAGAACAGGTAACTTAGGGGAGGGAAAAAGCCCGTCACTGGCCTTAGGCCCCAGTCAGGTTCCAGCAGGGCGGAACCCAGAACCACCACCAAAAGCAGATTTTTGGGGCAAGGCACAACAAGATGAGAGAACCATGGTTTCGAGACACACGGGCAACGTGGTCTTCTGCGGAGGCAAGACATTAGTTATGATTTATGATCTATGATTTGTCCTTGCCTAAATCTACCACTGCTTGCTGGCTTGCTGGCTTGCTTTGTCCTCCCCCGGAGCCAAAGCCGGCCCTCTTCGCTATCTTCTCCCCCCATCGTCATCTCCTTTCCATCAAAGAACCTCATCAAGGTTGATCAGATGGGCCGATCGACCTAACAGATCGTGGGATGGAGGACTCTACACGCATCCACTGAGAATTTCCGAGTCGAGACCACTATCGCTTATTAACTACTAACTAGCCCACCTCTGTCCACCTTGTGAACTAATGGATGGAGAATAATATCGGGGATCAGTTGACGAGTCCTTCTCGATCAGGGTTGTCAGGTCATTTTGAACCCGTCATTCCGTTCCTGAAGAGGAAATTCTAGTCTCCCGCCCAGTCTCCGGCGGGCGGCGGAGATTGATTGAAATCCACTTGCAGCATTTTCTACTCCCGACTCCCGACCTATCCACTCGACTCAGCTGAGATGGTTGTTGGAAAGACAACAGGACAAAGACGACCCGGGCAGCGAGCAAATCTGACACTGATCGAACATCGTGCATGAGCGACATCAAAGACCCCCCGATACGAGGCATTCAAGTCGATCCATCACAACCCCCGAGGGAATGTATGGATGATAGATCTGACCTGCAGTTCCGCACGCGTATCGTTGACTCCGCATTTGTTTTTTGTTTTTTTTGGTCCTCCACTGCGCGAGAGAACGATTGCATCGCGAAAGGGGCAGGGATGCACACGGCACGAGTCAAAAGGTAAAAAAAGAAACAGAGTCAGGGCAAGACTAACAAAGAACTGTGAGAGGAGAGGGAGTGGGCCAAGCGAAGTGGATTAGGTATGACCTTGGTCATCCTTCCATCATACTGTATCCATAGTAGGGCAGTGATCGCAAGTTCTTTGCACCAGCAGTTGGAAGAAGAATCTGATGAGTGCTCATTACCCCGAAAAAGCAAATGTGAAAACGATTATTAGGCAAATTCATGAGCCTATCATTTATTAGATTTGGGAGGTGGAGGAACGCAAAAGCAGCCGAAAAAAAGGGGGGGCAGGGCGTCCCACTCCACAACCGTGCTGCTGCTTGCATGCCAGGGATGTTCAATAATAATGCTCAGTCGGGACTCGGTGGTCGACTAAGAAATGTTCCATGATCAAGCTTAGAGCCGTTAAGTGCCATGAATGGCTGCCTCAAGACTGTGGAGAAAAAAGTCGCGCTGACAGCCCAGTTCTGCCGCTTCCGGAACCTGGAACCAAGGTTCAGTCGGTTGGATGTGGCTGACCGTTAACTCTCTACTCCCTATACTTACAAAGTAAAAAATCGCTGATCTCCAGCCCATCCGGTCAGTCTCAGCCAGATTGACCGGTAAGTGCAAGTCTTTGTGAATCTGATCTTTCCAAGCTCGAGTCGCTGTTGGGCTGATTCTTTGCTTCTGTCCGTCGGCCGAAGGGGAACCGCTGACTCGCAGATGTTAAGTGAACTACAGCCCCGAAGGCCAGGGACATCTACATGCAGCCCAAGCAAGGTTCAGCTGATATTCGTCACCTTGCTTAAAAGTACCAATGCCTGACATGTGCTCCACTTCGACCTCAAAGTAAAGCCCCGATTTGCCCGATGCCGGGAAAATTTATATCTCATCCACAGCTGGTTTGACAACATACTCATATCATCGAGGAATATCGCTACTGGCCGTGATCGGTGCGCTAGAACGTATGATAAGTCAATTGAATTCTTCAATGTTTCATCACCTGACAATCTACTCCGTATGGAGTATTCAACCATGAGCTGACTACTCTACCTGATTCATTTGTGCATGACCGGCGGGTTGCTTCATACATTTCTTTCTCATCAACCTGGACTCTAGGTGACTGTACAGCATCCCAGGGATCAGTACTCGTACACACTTCATGACTCACTCCACATGATAACTAACCGATTAACCTACAGAGTATTACCTGATCGATCTGCAGACTTGATTGCCAAACTTCCAATCTGTACTGAGGTCTCAAAAGATCTTTATCAGTTCCTACTTCGTACAAATTGCCATGCGCGAAGGATATCGTTTCCGCACGCAGTCTGAGCTACACTGATTGCATGGAGCATAAATCGAACTCGCACACATCTCGCACACATAACGAAGGAGCACTTATCACCACACTCAGTCTATCTTTGCTAGAAGATATCCATAAATCAGTGATTTTATAGGCTCTAAGTATATTTTGACCGTGGCCAGAGAGAAAGCCGAACCACCTTGTACATATATAGAAGCCTCTGAAGGTCACTATTCGTAAGGTTGTGTCACCCAATGCAGCAACCGAAAGGGTCACCATGTGCTTGCAGTTACAATCTCATGGTTTCTCTACAGGAACTCCTTACATTGGATCAACGACGGCGGCCGCCGATGTCTACTATATCTCATAGCATAGTGTTTATTGTAGCTGGCTACGATGCCTGATACTGTGCGCACCTCTATCCAGCCATACAAATAGGCAACTTGCTCGAAGACCCGCTATATATTTCGAGAGGCCGAGTTCAACCACGCCTGCGTATTGCAAGTCTGTTCCAGATATACTAACGCAGAGTTGCTGTATCAATGCCCGGCATTCCTGGACCGGGTCAAAATTTTTCTCCACCGTTGATAGCTTCTTCCCTTTCATACTCCTCTTCTGCTTTCTCTACCTCTCTCTATTGAATCATCAGCCACTGTCTACGTCTACCGCATGATGAACCCGCTGTTACTTCTACCTCTGATGCCTCTTCTCTCGCTCTTGATTATCTTGCAGGGCTTTGAAGCCCTCAATAATTCGACAGATCAAAGGAGCGTCAGATCTCCATTGCTCAAACCCATGCTTAACCACTCCGGAGCGTCTTTCAAAGAGCCTTAGAAGCCCAACAAACTACAAAAAAGCCAACCCCTGACTCTATCAAGTAACCGGACACTCACGGGCAACGCACAGGGGCTGTGTCAACTTGCCCATGCTCCTCATGCTATCAGCCATGCTAAAAGAAAGGGACTGGAGCGACAGCACAGAAAAAAGTAGACCGAACACCAGAAGCTTAAAATGAGGATATCCCCCCTTCGTCTTTCATGTCGGCGTTCTCTCTTGGGTTATATGAACGGGATAAGAACAAATTCTAGGAGGTATACATCTCTAGTTCTACTCGAATACCCCTCGCCGCCATTCATCCAGTGTGCTTGGAAAGAGCCGGACGAGGGGGGACCAACTCTCATACAGCCTCTATTCTCTGGAAGAGATGCAGGCACGTAGACTCGCTCAGCTGCTAGCCGAACCCCTCAAATCAGGATAAGTGAGTAGCTGGATGAGCCCTTTGGCCCAGAGAGCCAGGATCCTGACTACAGCTACCATGTCTTATTGTGGTCGGGCTTGTGAAGCCGTGGCCACGACTGAAAAGTTTTGCACAGCATGTAGAGCTATTTTAACTCCCCTTTTCTTATTGCTTGGTCCGCTCCAGCAGCCGGACGGCCTTTGCCGATAACTTGCTTATCGTCGTCTATCGAGGCTTGCTGTTTTGTTGAGTAATGGCTCTCAGAGTGGCGGGGAATGGCTATACTGGTCGGGGTAAAGGTGAGTAGAGCATGAGGATGAGCGCCTCGGGGACAGTGGATGCTGCTGGTGCTGTGCTATTGGAGTCGTCACTACTGACTCTGAGGAAAGGATCTGGCAGCCAATTGGGGTCTGCTATCATGCCGAGGGAGGTGGGAATAGGACGATGGTAGCGTGCAATCATCCACCTGTGGTGACGTGCGATGTGGCTGTAGAGTTGGGCCCAGGACCCCCTTTATCGAGACGAAGACATGGACATTGCACCGCAGCGGGAGTGTGCTGGTGAAGTTCCCCAGATGTGCTTGCTAACGCTTGTCTATCCCGGCATGGCAGGAATAATAACGTCTTCTGTATCGACTGATGGGGTCTGGTATACGGTCTAGAAGAAGTCAGAGGCGACCCAGCCGTGCACCACTATCCATTTGACCTCTCTGTGCAATGAAGTGGTGATCCTACTTCGTCCAGCGAGCAATGGTCGGGATATGTTGGTGAGCAGCTCCGATCGCGGTATACGCACAACTCTGACGCTGGACCTCTCGCAGCTCGGCATTGCTTTGGAACCCAGAAACGTGGAAAGGGTTCACCTGTCTGGCATCGTGATTAGCTTGGTCTGAAGTCAGATGTGGATGGTGAGAGCCCCAGTCATTGTCTTTTGCCGAATAGATTCTGTGGTTGAGGTATCACAGTGCGTTCCTGCGTTGATGAGTCCTTGGAAGCCCTTCCTCTCCCTGACAACCGGGCGAGATGGCTATGGTCAGTAGTCACGGGTACGGAGTGATAATAGGTACTCTTTGAGTGAAGTAGTATGTCGTTTCGAGATCAAATGAGTTACTATTTAGTCGCGCTAGATAGAATCAAAAGCAGAAGTGTCCTTGAGCTTGAAAGAGGATAGATCAAGGCCACCGGGAGCCAGCAGACCGTAGACCCATGAGAAGTCTCAATTACCCCGTCAAACAAAGCTGATGCGAGCCTTAAAAGATTCCATAATTTCTAAATGGTTTTTAAAAATCATCACACATCTGAGACCGACTAGTCAAGTTGGTGAAAAAGAATCAACGGGTCCGTACTGAGGTTGTGCCCCATTGCTGCCGGTTGGAAGCAGAGCGCTTCGACCATTATCTTGCTATCGTACAACTTCCACCACCGTAGAATATTCATGGAACTACGTTCAACACGTAGACCGAGCACACAGTCAATCTTGCAGACATCAACTTGTCTCAACATCTGCCAGGAAGACCTAACACAAAGCACGAATGTTGGCCAATCTCGAGCAGATAGGCTCACATATTCACCAACTGAGCACATACGGCCACGGGGTGTGGTGATATGAGTCTTTGGTAGCTCACTCAGCCCGGGAGAGCCTTCCTATGGCGGAGTCATTCCCAGCTCAACTCCATGCTGAAAACACCCGGTCGACCGGGTAAAGCAACTTCCAGGATGACGAAGCACCTGGGCTCGAGAATATCTGGCCACAAAAGAGGCATTCGCAGAGAGTCCTTCGATTCGAGCCTGTTTGTGTATGTACATGGAAGGAGCAAGTACTAGTCGTAATTTTTCGAGTCGATCAGATCTAGTACCGGAGGGGGAGGGGTGTGTGCGGGTGCCGCGCAACAGCCTCGTGCGACCTGTCATATTTCGAATGAATATCACTGTCTCCTACCGTCTGATTTTGAGCGCTGATTGGTGCGGCCAACAGTACCGAAGCTCTATCATCAGAAACTTCAGGCGGACTCATGGCTTTTGATGTTGTTTTTGGTTTATGGGAAAGCCACGTATGTAGATCTCCGCTCAGGGTCGTGTTAAGGTGGCGATTCTCCAGATATGACCGGTCGGATAACAGACACCGTCATCTCGTACAGTCGAAACGGTCCGTCGAGATAGGGGGGGTTATGCAGTTGTTGGATTAGGTGGCCAGGACAATCGATACCGAGTTGTGCTGTGAAGGTTCGTCTGGCATTGTATGTCAGCGAAAAAAACCTGTCAGGATTCGGACGAGGGGTAAATGAAATCAAACGGCCGGTAACATACAAGGCATTAGGGACCAGAAATAGTAAGCAGCCGAGAAAAAAGAAAGAATGGAGAAGAGGATGTAGCAGGCGAAGCCAAGCATGGAGTTTTCCCTATACCCACATAGAGCGCGAAGGAGGCCGAAGGCATCATTGTGATCATCGGGATATTCGTAGTAGTATTGGTCCTTTTCGATATCAGGGGTCCAACGGCCCGGTAGTTGGCGTTGACAATGTGGTGTATCCTGATTGCTACATGGTGTCAATTGGTAATTGTATGCCGGACTTCATCAAGGCTGAACTGACCTGTTCAGGGGTAGTTGGTTGCTCTGCATACCACTCGTCTGACTGGCCATCTGCCGCGCAACCACGTAATGGCAAAGGATGGGGAATATGCAGTCAGCTTGAGATAGAGTTTAGTGCAATAGAATCCTTCTCAACCGGAGTGTGTCTGTCAATTTCTTTATCGTTTATCAGTGAGACATACCGACTGATTTCCCCAGGAAATCTTAATGCACTGGTTTAGGCTAGCTACGTTATGTACTTCATCAGTTAGTTGGGCTTGTACAGATGACTCAGCTGTCACAACATGAGCATAAAGCTTTGATAATGCAATGAAAATGGGTCCATTGTCGCGCGCCGAAGGATGGTTCAAGGTCGCTCGGTAGTTGTCCGTCGCCTAGAGGTAAGTTATTCTGTCCTCCATAGGACTCCATAGGATGGTTCTCTCCGTATGACTCGTACGAAACACAGCAGAAGCTCAACCGGGCTCTGGAAAGCTTCAGGACCAGTCAGCTCGGCTCGATCCTTGCTACCGAGCCATGGAACGCCGGTGCCATAGTTCGAAGCCTCGCACGCCAGGAAGAGTCGAAGTGCCACATGTCGTGGGGACTGGTTACCAGAGACGATGAACCGTATGTTCACAACAAATAGAAACATTGTTATGCTCGTCTTCCTGATAGACGTCCACTCCTTGCCACCCACAATAGGGTATGAGTAGTCAATGGACAATAACACGACCTTGAAGCTTGGGCCACCTTAGGGACGTATTACCAATCCAGCGACACCACAAGCAGGAAAATTAAGCGATGAACAAGACACAAAGTACCACCAATCTGGATTCCTCACGTAAATGCTCGGAATGAATGTTTGACTTGACCCAGTCCTTCATGGGAGGAATTTAAGGAGGACCATCGCGGTAGGAGAGCTCGCATGCTATGAAGCGCATTCTGACATTTGCTGACAGCAGCGTCCCAGGTCACTCAGAGACATCCCAGGGAAACGTGGGTTAGCAGGCTACTAGAGCCGTAACTGTATCTTCAGCTATCCACTTGACAGGAACGGAATTTGCTCGCTGAGAATTCGGCCCCCCGCTTTACCCTGGTCAAGTCTCGGCCGCCCACCGCCCCTGGACAAACGAAGCCATTGTGATCAACGCCAGGATCCTAAAGCTTGCGTTGTTTGTGGCGATAGTGGATTCTGTTGTCCAGGTATTGCTCGAGCTTGGCAGGGAAGACCGAACTGTCTCGCCGGCTCCTGGTAGAAGTTATGATTTGGTTATGAGTTAAAGTTTGAATACGGGGAAGCCGCGGCATATCGCCTATTCGATTTAATTTATTCTCAGTTTCGCTTGTCGATTGGGAATATCTTGATGGTGCTTACGGAGTGTTCTGCATCCGTACCGGACCTCACCGACAGAAGTACGGAGTTTTGAGCAGGAGCAGGTCGAGTGGTCAGCTCCAGCACCTATAGGTTCAACGAATTACCACGCCATGTTGTGCTTTGGATATGATTAGCGACAAATGAAGATCCCCTGAACCGAAGGTAAGCAAGCTGACAATGCAACCTCGCAACCTCGGGGTTTGTTTACCAATGATCTGCCTCTTGCTCGCGTTCGGAAGGATGAGGATGGGCGCACATCACTCCCCTTTCCGGTCCCCAGCAGCCGTTGAAAAAAGCATAGAGCTTTGCATTATTGGTGGAACCCGGATGTAGACCGCATTTTGAAGCGACAGTTCTTATTTCTCACCACGCGAATGGCTTGAGGGTTCGCCAATGAATGAGGTGGAACAGGCCTCTAACGGGTATGCTTCCATGCATGGAAACCCGGCTGAGGTGTGCCACGCTGCCCGTTAACCAGAAGAGGGCCCCCTCCGCCTGTGGGGATCACAACAGCCTAAGCTGGCTAAGCATAATTGGGAAAATAGGGGTGGGTGAAAGGATTTCTAGGTGTGGGAAGGCTTGACTCACCAATGAATACCATAGAAATATCGACTGCTGCACTTTGAGGGAGCTTCGGTCAATCGTTGGACCCGAGGATCAGTCAGCAAACCCAGCTGTCGATGGGAACGCTTCTGAGACTGGGAGACTATGCGTAGCGTAGTGCTTGGGTCTGCGACCACGCAAGGAGGGTAGTCGACGAAGAACCAGGGGATCGGACCGTCAGCAACATCGACTTACTTGATTGTTGAGTAAATGGGCCGCGAAGCTCAGTGCGTCCTGTCAGGCCCTCTGATTGCTCCGGGTGTGGGGTCAATGGAAGAGCGCAGGCACTCACTAGGAAAGCCACTCCATGGTGAAACCACTACCGATTTAAGGATCCAACAATACAAGACGATGCGGAGCACGTGGTTCCCGGGGGGCGTAGACTGTGGGCTTTACTTGGTAATTACCAGAGCAGTCGGTATTGTGACCATTGTGACCCTGTATGTGTTGTGCTGTATGTGTGTATCTACCATTCCATCTTCAGGGTATGCATCTTCAACCCTCGAATTACTTGTGGCTTTATCCCAATTGACGAGTCAAGATCGTTGCGAGTTATGTTAAAGATTTGCTAGCGTAACAACAATTTCTGGGGGGAAATTTTATCGCAGTCAGTACGAGACAGATAGCACAGGTCTGTCTGCCATGCCCCACATTTATCAAGTCTGCATTCTCCGTCTATGACCGACAAGAGCGAGCAATGAAAGTCTCATCGGATCAAATGCGGCCGTGGCTGCGATCGAGTCTTGGTGTCGCAGCAATGAGATTGTCACTCAAAATTCTCGCTACATGTCACCTTCCGGAATGTCTGTGACTCGTTCATTCCTCACGGCTATTCCCTTGCATTGTCTCGAAGAATGCGCCAGGCCGCTTTACAGCTAGGCAACACTATCTCACGTGCTTGGCGATTAGATCTAAGAGACCTGGTATTACGCCCGTGGGTTGTGTGTCGAGTATGGAGTAGGCCAATTGCGGACTAACCCATCCCAAGCACTTTGAATACCTATATGTCCCAGCCTCTGCCGACGGCGCGATGCATAGTTCATTCAACAATGAGATCTAGGTTTAACAATAGAGGCGGCGTCTTCTCGGGTAGAGCTAACCGCACTTGTGGAAGGTCCATCATTGAAAGTCTCGCAGGGCAATGGGCATGTAATATGGATCGTCTAGGGACAATGCAGCTGTGCGGATGCTGCCGCTCATCAATTAGCATTTGGATAGACACTTTCCCATGCCAAATCCGGGGTGGATGCCCGAGATTCACTCCTGTAGATCCCCTCTCCCTGGCTTATCTCCTTACGAAGTTTCTGCATATGATATGTCCGGGAGAGGCGCACACTCCCGCTGAGGGTTGCATGGAATGCGCAATCTTTACCTGTTCCCGTCAGTTCTGCCATGCTCCTTGAAGCTACTTTTTGTCTGTGAAGTCCGCAACCGGCCATCCTCCGCGAACTGATTGGGACGGAATTGACCTGGTCCATGCCGACGGCTGCTGACTCATACTTTCCCCTGCTTTAGCGCCCTCCACCAGCGTATTATTCCTTGCTTGGCAGGTCTGATGAAACCGGAAACCTGCAATAATCCCGACCGACTCAGCTGCGTACTGTATTGACACAGAACAAATTACCATACCTACCATAACTTATCATACATCAGTTCGTTATCCACCATGTGATTAGTAATTGGGCAAACTGGGCACTCTCGGGGCAATCGACTTGTAACTACTTACTCCGTAGGTAAACTATTGATAGGTCACTTCGGAGTCATGACAGATCATGATCTGAGTGGATAAAGTTTGGCACTCCAGAGGGTGTTGAACCAACCTACGGAGTACCTACGCTAGGTTCGTGCGTTCCCTCCTGATACTGTTGCCTACTTGGTCCTAGTATGACGCCGGATCAGTTCGAGGTTCGCTCTTTTCACTGATTATTGAAAGGATCGATAGATGAAACCGCGCCCATGCCCATTAGCCAGCCGATGATCAAAAGCCTTTTTTATTTTGTTCTTGATCGCTTGAGCTCCTCGATGCCGATGCTTACACAGATTGTCAATCTAAATGTCGGATAGACAGGTCCAGACCTGTATGCTGTTGAATAAATTGACGATGATCAGCTCCCAGTCTGGGCATAATGCTCGGTGAGCAAGAGCAGCAGCCCTAACAGAGAAGGCTTCTTACGAGTAAATATCTGCTAGATGGCAATCTATAGTGAGATCTCTAGCCACCGAGATCTACAGGGCTCTTGTGTTGGTTGAGCTTAGAGCCAAATCACTACGACTCGGAAACCCAAGGTTGACCGCCTGAGAACGAGACTTCGACTCCACGGACTCGCTGGAGCTGGCCAGGGAGACTGTCTTTGTTAGAACTTGGCAACTTAGGTCGTGGTCAGCACCTTCCAAGGTTTGCTCCATGCGCCGAATAAGGTTCAGTATGGTTCTAAGGCAAATATACGTCGATCCGTGCATGGCAGCGCGGTACTCCCGTTCCTCGTGGCGTTGTGTACGAATAGTGGGATTAGTGGGAGGAACTATGTTTGGATAGTGAGAATCAAGCACAAAACACGGATAGGACTACCTGAAGGTGGAAAAGAAAAGCGATATAGGGGGCTTAGGCTGGAAAGTCATTGTCTTTGTTTGGATCATACGATGACGAAGCTGGTTGCGGTCGGTAGTTGACATCTCCCTGAACGAAGGCGCATGGTTAGACCCTCATGATACTGCAGTCTACTGCAGACCCATGGCATGGCATAGGCCATGAAACCTACAATGGGTCTTAGGGGGAGAAGCTCGAGTCAGTCGGGTTCAGTGGAGTACTGTACATTACTGGTAAGTGCTGGTACACTGGGTATGTATGTATCAGTATGGTTACAATGCTTTGATGTATGGCATATTACAGTACCACCGCTATCTCCAATCGGCTCGAATCAGACTAAGAGCGGGCGAAGAATCAAGTGGTGGATCCAGGCTTCATCCACCGGAGCCACTCGTATTATTGCTGTGCCGGTGCCCCTCTTACCTCTTGACATGACCGAATCAACTACCTAACCTACCGTAGTCTAAGGAGTCTAGCTCTCCGCTCGCCATGTTATCTCCTCTCCACTGCTACCTACTAGGTAACTGACACTAATTGCATAAGGGCTTACTTATGGCTAAGTCCCTTAGCACCACCGCTACCACTTTCACACTCCCTCGAAACGCCCTCACACTCCTTCTCTCTCTCTCTCTCTCTTTTTCTCTTTCTCTTGAGATTCTCACTTCCCCCGAAACGAACGGAGTTGAGTATCTTACTACTCACCACTGTCGTAATACAAGTCTTACAGGCGCCGCGTCAGGGCCATTCAGGATCCAAGAAATCCCACACCCACCGACTAAACCGACCTTGCTAGCAAAAGCACTGCGACCCACTCCGATCGGGGTTGCTTGAATATCTCAACGAATTGCGCGACACTTCCGTTACCTCTTCCTGCCCACCAATTACTCTTTCTATAGACCGATCTGCTACTTTCGACAAGGATACTTCTCCTCCTTCATCCTCTGTGCTCCTTTCTGGTCCTTCTCTACCCTCCGTCTCTCCCATCAGCTGTGATATGGGAGTAATGCACCTCTTCCTCCTACGCTAACTCCGATCTTAATTACCTTCGACTCTCCCCCTCATTCAGTTGAAATACACCCTCTCCTTCGCTTTCAAATTCAACAGGGGCATAGCGACAAACATATCGTCGTACCTATTTCGCACTCGAGTTTCTCAATCCCTCTCCGTGCTGCCGACATAGTTGCGCTTATCAAAGCTCCAATCTCAAAGTCGCACGGAACTGTAGCCGTCGAATCTCCCGTTCTTGCCAACCAACTCGCTTCCTCCTTACAGCTCTCTTGCCTTCGAATCCACTTGAGTACTGTCGAAACGCTACCCAGAACGACTCTCTACCCGTGGAGATAATTGTCGTATATAGACCGCCACACAAGACCGATACTTGAATTACTGCGCACCTGGAGCCTTTCTCGAAGTGTTGAACTAGCAGCCACGGATAGTTCGGCCGAAAATAGAATATCGCAGTGTACGTCCAAATTCCGCCTCTCGCTGCTGCGTAGCGATGACTTCAGTGGATGCATGTCTAATCTTACGCTGCGTATATAGCGACTCTACCCCTCCGCTTGTCAGACTTTTTCTTTGTTCCCGAATGTAAGTGATTTCATCTTATTCCAGTTCCGGATGGCGGCCGGCCCTGGTTCCCCCTCTCAGACCCAGACCTGCACCTGATACATGTTTCGAGCGTAACCCACTTGACTGGTCATTCCTCGCAGCCTGAGCGCATCCCTGATTCAATTGCAGACCTAACAGTCTTTGCGCGCTTCTTTCAATGAATTTTCGGAGTCACTTTATCTAACGCAACGGTAACAGACACTCCTTTTCACATTTGTCAGGTAGAAATTATACTATCGCAAAATGGGTTGTATGAGTTCAAAGCCCGTAGATGCGGGAGATAAAGAAGCCCTCCAACGGAATGTCAGGATAGAGAAGTCGCTCAAAAACGACAAAAAAGTGATGGACAGAACGATCAAAATCCTTCTCCTTGGTAAGTATGCGCTTTGGCGGACACCGATAATCGATTTGTTCTTAGTACTGACTAAATTTGTCTAGGTGCGGGAGAGTCCGGCAAGTCGACAATCATAAAACAGATGCGCATCATCCACTCGGGAGGATTTCCTGAAGACGAACGCATTCAGACTCGGGCGGTAATCTACTCGAACCTAATTATCGCCTTCAAAGTTCTATTGGAAATTATGCGCACGGAGAGCATCGAATATCAACTTGAAACAACCAAGGTAAGTTAGCCCTCCAGTCGATCCGAAGTTTCTGTCCAGCTTTATTGCTCGGATATGGTAGTCCAGAAGCTGACTGTTGGTCTCGTGGGTTCAGTCGCTGGGTGAATTTATTGACAATTTGGAACCGGACGTGGGCTCCGATGAAGCATTCTCGGACCTGAAAGTTCGTGATGCTCTGAGGGATATTTGGGACGATTCAGGCGTTCAGAAGGCAGTGGCTCGAGGACATGAGTTTGCGCTTCATGATAACCTACACTAGTAAGTGGCGAATGACGGCTTAGCTTCGACGACTCACCTAACCTTTTCCCCCAGCTTTTTCGAATCTCTTGACCGGATATTTACTCCTGGTTGGCTCCCCGACAATCAGGACATGCTACAAGCTCGGCTGCGAACGACGGGAATAACGGAAACTCTATTCGAACTTGGTCAGATGAACTTCCGAATGATGGATGTTGGTGGACAACGATCCGAGCGCAAGAAATGGATTCACTGCTTCGAGGGTGTGCAATGCCTCTTATTCATGGTTGCCTTATCAGGATACGATCAATGTCTTGTTGAGGATCAGAATGCCGTAAGTAATCGGTCTCATCTTGTATAATTCTTGCATCATCTAACCGTTTTGTTCGCACAGAATCAAATGCACGAGGCAATGATGCTATTTGAGTCACTTGTGAACGGCGAGTGGTTTAAGCGCAAGCCCATCATTCTCTTCTTGAACAAGATTGATCTCTTCAAGGGGAAACTTCAAGTTTCGCCCGTTTCCAATCATTTCCCCGACTACAACGGTTCAAACACGGACTTCGATGCCGCAGCAAGATACTTCGCCGATCGATTCCGCGGCATCAATCGGATTCCAGACCGCGAGATATATATCCACTATACTAACGCTACCGATACCACTTTATTGAAAGCTACCATGGATTCCGTGCAAGACATGATAATCCAGAAGAATCTCCACACCTTAATACTCTAAGGTATTACTGGGCATGACTAATATCTAATGAAACATTCTTGCGGCCATGGGATCTCCATCTTCCACCAAATCCTATTGAAAGTACCTTATCAGCATTACTTCCTTGTGCTGTCCGCAACTGCTCGACGCCATTCTCTTTCCTTGCCGTTCTCAGGATCGTCCTTGGCTCGCTTGGATGACTTTCTTATCTCCACGCTCTTCTATACTGAAAAAAGCACGCATCTTATCTTCGATTCCAGCGGCGTGAATCTCCTTTCTACTGCAGATTGATACCATATACCACATAGTTGTGTCTGTGTCTGCGTCCTTAGCAACACCTTACGATTTCGTTTGGCCTTTATTTCCATGTTTGGCCTCTCATTGGGTCTATCGGTTTCATCTTTTTCTTCAATGTATTTACTTCATTCTCTTATTCGGTGTTACATAAAGGACAATATTTGTTTGTTGAGTTGACGGCAATCATGCGCGTCTTCTAAACTTTTAGATCACTTGCAGAGCCACAGTTGTAGTTTGTCTTATCTTGGAATGATACAAGTTTGCGTAGCCGTTGTTGTAAAAGGCGCATTGCTAATGGACCCATTGCGACAGTCTAAACAGGCCATTCTACGATTACATCCTAAACTGCTAAGGTTTCTTCCCTTTGTGTGGTTGGTTCGAACAGTGCAGCTCACCTGGGCCCCCTTTGCGGGAAGTACAAATTTACATATTTACTACCGATACAATCAGCGAAATAACAGGAGCTGTGCGTTGTAACCATTTAATTGGATTTATTATGTCAAGTGGTGTGGCAGATCTGGTCCCTGCCTCGAGATTATACGAGCATGAACATCACATGACCTCCCACGATGATGCCTGAGGTAGCCACGTTCTGCAAAACTCTGCTGAGCTAAGCAGAGATCCGCATGATCGGCTCATCAACTTCAACTTCGGTTTCGCCTCTTTCGCAGCCGCCAAGTTCGTTTACCCAGCTACTGGGACCTCACGACGCTTTGGAAACCAGAAAAATGCTGTCGTCCTCACTGCGCCGGGCGGCCTGGGCTCCCATTGCCCCTATCTCAGGTGTCACACGCGCCTCCAGCCAAACTCTCACCACCTCCGCGAACAACCTCACCGGCTCAACGCAGCCTGTGCGTCAACGGCGCTACTCCTCCTCCTCGTCCTCGAATCCTAGCGATGGCGCAAGGAAACTGGAGTTGGAAGTGAATTCAGGGAAGTCGACCCGTCGGAGTCGCAAGGACAATATTCGCACCGGCTCCAAGCAGCAGCAGCAGCAGCAGCAGCAGCAGACGGCGTTTTCCCGACTGCCCAGTGTTCCCTCGACCCAGCACCTCCTCCCGCATGGTAAGCCAGCCAGCTCGAACAGATTTTCCCCTTTCCCAAAGACAAAGTTCGAGATGGGGGAAACAGAAACTCGACAAGCTCCCAAATTTGAACCATCGGTGACCTTTCTTCTTTCTTCTTCCCGCAGATGTCCAGGTCGCCTCCTTCTTCTCCATCCACCGTCCCATCTCCGTCTCCTCCAGCGTGCCCCCGACTTCCACCTCCGAAGCCTTCGACGCCATCTTCACCGAGCGCAAGCCCGCCGTCGACGATGTGATCTCCACGCTCTCGTCCGCCGTCCACTCTATGGAAGGCGAAGACGACCACAACCACTACCAGGCCGTCCTGCAGGAATTGACCGACCGGAGTTTTCTCCAGCAGGGCCAGCAGGGCCAACAGCTGCAGCACCCCTCTCAGACCATGAACCTGACCCTTTCCATTGAGGAACTCACCAAGCGCCTGCGGCCCTTCCACCCCCCTCCACCCCCGGTCCCCATGAACGAGACGTCCGCCAATAACAATGCCTCCGAGCAGCAGCAGCTCCTCCCCCAGACGATGACGAATACCACGGAAACCTACTCCGCCGTCCTGACCATCCACGAGTCCACCCTCCCCGATGGCCGCAAGACCTACCAGGCCCACGCCGGTCCCTTCATGCCCACCAAGGACATGGGCGTCCCCGGGGGTGCGCAGGCGCCGCCCGAGATCGTCGAGGCCTACATCGATGTCGTGGACCCCTCCGCGCACCCGGAGCTCAGCTACATCGACCAGCCGGATCAGCAGATCAACGGCCCCATGCAGGCCATCAGCACAAAGAGACGTCGTCGGTTGAAGATGAAGAAGCACAAGTTCAAGAAGTTGTTGCGGAAGACGAGAACCTTGAGGCGGAAGTTGGAGAAGTCTTAAACGAGGCTTTATGCTTCCTCGAGACGTGTTTTGCCTCTTGCCACTTACTTTTGTGTCTTTGCTTGATTAATCCGGTCTCCCTTTTTCCGGTGTTTCCCCCACAACTTTTCGAAAGCAACTCTAACCTTTGGTTTTCTCTAAACATCTTCCGTTTTCTTTTCTCTTAACTTGCATGCATCTTATCTCCCTCTCCATCCACCGATCGACCAATCAACCAATCCAACCGACACTTATAGACAATACTATGTGACATATTATCTTTATTCTCAGTTCTCAGCCGGTTAGGTTTGTGTAATCGTATGTGCATACCCAGTACGCATCCGCTCTTTCCGGACCTTTATCTATACTCTCAAGCCGATGCGCATGTACCATATCTGGAACTATATGCCAGGAGCTTTGAAAGTCGACATATTCCCTTCCCCTCTCCCGATTGCCTCCAGCTCAGATCGATTTCAGTGTCAGGGTAAATTGATTCAACAAGTACCGATGTGACACCCATAGAGTACAGGAAGCAAACAATAAGCATGTAAGCAACGCAAAGAAAAGACAAAAAAAAGAAACCTTTAGCCATGCAATAGTAAATTCAAATATCTACCAACCAGTAAAAGACCGCCGCCTCCTTCGCCACTTCCTCCCTAATAGTAGTCTACACTGGCATATAATCTCCTTCTCCTGTTTCAAGGGATGCGAAGAAGTGGAAAAGGAGGGAGATTGATATACCTATCCAATAGCCGTCCCTTTTCTCAACTCACAGACCCTGCAAGCGGATCAACTTGTCTCTCCACCACTTGTCGGTAACGTAAATCTTAGGGAATGATTCCGACAGCCAAGACACACACCTACACACACATCACGTTAAAAGATCATGTTTTTCTTGAGAATGGATTTCTGGACCAAATCCGCGCTTCACGGTATAAACGATTCGTAACATGGGGAACACTAGGCTTCAACGACGGGGCACCGCTCGCGCGGGTTCTTGTTCACATCTCGTCGTTGCCATCGCCGGTGCGCGCACAAGTCTCACAGAGAACGGGCGGGCCGGCGAGCATTAGGTTCGTTCGCTTAGCAGACGGCATCGATTCTCGAGCGGGAGTTCATGAGAAGGGCGACGATGAGACCGTACAGACCTGATAGGAGCATTGTTGGTTAGTGGTGCCGGAGTAGACATATGGTAGATCTGGTGGACGTACCCAAAACTTCGGCGAAAATAAGAATCAAAATCATTCCAACGTAGAGACGGGGCTGTTGAGCAGTTCCACGGACACCAGCGTCACCCACAATACCGATGGCAAAACTTAAAGACGAACAATCAGTTTCTCGGCTCGAAATCGGAAAGCTCAAAGAACATACCCAGCAGCCAGACCGGCCAGACCGACAGCGAGACCAGCTCCCAGCTGAATGAATCCGGTGTACAGGGGCACCTTTTGGTTCAGGTCGTTGGCGATAAGAACGGACACGACCAGACCGTAGATACCGATGATACCCGCCATGACGATGGGGACGATGTCTGTTACGACCTTCGTTAGTGGCTCGGCTCCAAGTATAGACTGCAGAAGCATGGTTTCTCCTCCACAGCTGCAGCGACTATTGGAAAGGGCTTCTAACGTACTCTTAACGATCAGATCGGGTCTGAGGACGGCCATGCCGCAGACACCGACACCGGCCTTGGCAGTTCCATAGGCAGCTCCGAAGCAGGTGAAGACGATGGCTGAGGTGCAACCCAGCGCACCGAAGAAGGGCTAGTGGGCGGCAATTAGCTATTTGTACAAGGGGAAGTTCGTTTCGTGCAAGGTGACGTTGCTCCGTTCGTGGAGGACCCGACGGTCCGCCATCGAATTTCAGCACATTATCAATGATGGATGCGAGTAACTCACAGCATAGACGGGGCTATAACCATACAAATTAGCACAGTCCGCAACAAAACACTGATAGGCAGGATTGATAGCTTATCGCGCAAGCTATGCGTTGAGATGATGGGAAAAGGAGTCAAGCAGGGTGATTACGTACCAAAGTTCAGTGGCCATTTTGATGGTCTAAATAGCTGTTTGGGGTGGAACAGATGCGAGGAAGCTATAGAAACAGCCGATAAAAGTGAGATTAGGGTAGAAGAAGGCCGCGTCGACAGCGATGAGATGAGGCGAAGGCGTGGGAGAGCTGAGACGGAGATGGAGGCTTGGAAGGCGAACACGCTGGTTGCTTCGGAGAGGCTCACCGACCACCTGCGCTACCACGTGACCTGCGGCTTGGCGCCTTCCCGCATTGCCCCAATCACTGACATCAGCACCCGACTGGATCGACCCATCCGCGATCTGCCCCTGCTCATTTTACAAGTCCTACTCAAGTTATGCTGCATTCATTACACCGCGTGAAGACTTGTTTCTGCTACAATCTATCAATACAGTATTATACATGGCTAGCAACTATTTTGTATGATCCGATCATCACTTCAGCTCTAATGCCACCCGACATCCTGGAATGTCGAACTTAGAACTCGATTCGTGCACTCCCCCATTTGAATCTTTCCCAGCCATGGGTTGCACGTATGTTATAGCTTTCTCCGATAGCCCACCAAAGTAGCCAGGGACTACCCGAAGGTCTTTCTGCTCAGCAGATTCTCTTTGCAAAGGGACAGCCTCGGCGTCCGAGACAACGCCGAAATGGAACACATTGTATCCAGTCCTAGACGCCGGCCAGTCTGATTGGCTAGGTTCAACGGAGACGAAGAATTGGACGTAGTCGCCAGGTCCTGCAGCCTGCGAGAGAGTGGAAAGGTCCTCTCCGAAGCCGCGCATCTCGAATGGCGGCGGCGGCGGCGAGTTCGACGAGACGTTCGCCTCGCCCGCAGTAAAGAGTCCCTCAAGTCCCAATAGCCTGTCTTTCTGGGCTGCTTCCATGAATGTTGTTTCAGGATCCAATGAGAGGAGGCCCTGTTTCTTGCCCCATCCTCCTCCACCACTCATCACTCGGTGAAGTTTGCCGCCCTTCCGAATCGCTTCGATAAGGCTTTCTCGAGAAGCCTCCTTGCCTGCGGTGTAGCCCTCCTCAGACGTCTCGATTAAAGCCCAGACGGAGACCCTTTGATCAACAATGTTGTGTTCGGCAATGTAGCGAGGGAGATCCTTCTCCAGCTCCAAGGAAGCTGGCATGGGATCCTGGGAGTGCTTATCTGTATGTTTGGACAATTGACGAAGAATGTTTCCCATACTGGAAATGACCCTCCTTCGTTGCCCAACGGGGTATAATGGAAGCTCGAAAGAGTCGCTAACGTTTGCCGCTGGTAAAGTGACAATGCAGTTCGACAGGTCCAGCGCATTGTCGAGTGTGTATCTCTTTGCAGCAGTATTGTAGATCCAACGGGCTCCAAAAAGAGTATTCTCCTTTCCATTGATGAAAATCGTATTTGCAAGTCGCAGGCCTACTTCATGAATGGACTTCCCAAATCCTCCATTCGATGCCCGAGTATCGCTTGTCGGAATTGAGAATACTAGTCCGGAATCTGTGGCTTCCATGCTTCGAGCCCGGCGAGGCGCAGCGAGCTGACCTTGTACATTGTCCCGGTTTACTAATAGCACCGATATCCCGTCGGCTTCCTGGGCGCAAGGGCCTTCCTTATTGTGGGACGCCTGTTGTCGAGTATCCGGGAGCTTGTCGACAATTGCAAAGATTGAATGCACAGTATCGGTGGACCCTGAATAGAATTGAGTCATCCATCGTTCAGGAAATGTGTGAGACGACAAGTCGATCCATGATGCGAAAGCGGAGGTTACGAGAAAGATAGGGACATCATCGGATCGTGGTAGAGATTCGGGGGTAGGAGGCGCATTCGAGAGGACATCATCTGAAGTCTGTTAAGAGGTCAATTTCTATCCAAAGGCCAGGAGATAGAAACGCACAATTGCGCCCGGAGTCTGCGTGAGCCAAGTATAGGCTATGGGGCGGGCACTGGAAGCTGTGTGTGCGACCGACCTTCGAATAATGGAAGGGACACGCTGATATGTCTGGCGACGACAAGCCAGCCGTGCTGGCAATGAGCGCGGGGCATACCCGAGCATCAGTGACATAGGAGTAGCATGGATACCTCAATCGAAATTGAGGTTACTTCGACCAGCTACAACTTCAGGAGCATTGCAAGTCGAATGTCATCCTGGCCTGGAGATGCGGAGGGAGCGGCGGATTTTTGGAAGCTCACCGCCTAGGGACTCGGTCTAGATTGCAGACTGTACTGATCCTGCCTCTCGACAGGGCGGGACTCGCCTTCTAGCCAGACCTGCTTGCTTCATTACACCTCTCGACTCAAAGTGTAACGATAGAAGATTGCTTATGTGGACCAGCTTAGGCTGTCTTATACTTGCACTACTGCAAAATAACGACAATCCTGTCATGGCCCACGCCACACACCGTCGCGCACGTACCAGCAATCCTAATCGAATCCTCGGTAGGAGTATGATTGGCACAATGCAAGGCCGGTGTTTATTGCACCCTTCGATCAAGACTTTTATGCATGGGTATCCCCAAATCACTATGCGGCCGGATGTGTAGATCAATCATGGGGCAATTCAACAAGGGAGTTGGAGACGCAGAAAGCTTGTTTCGTTCGGTTTGCATAACCCGGGGGTGTGGCTATGACATCATTCATGATTGATGATTCTGGAAGGATTCTTCATACTCATACACGTATGTCTAGACACACGGATGACTAAATGGCAGATATGGTGTAGATCGATGCAGAGGGGGCGCATCTTTCTCTGCAACACTCAGGCCCTGCGGCTCGGTGCGACTGATGTTTCTGGATATGCGAGATAATCAGGGAGAGGGGATGCGCGGCTGCGACCAGATTCGAAGCAGATGTGGGAGTGAGTGTGCTACCTACGGATTGCGATAGCTTGCCAATCTACCAATTGAAAACGTCTCGTGCAGTCACCCAGCCATATGCACCAATGCATGGATAGCACAAGACGATTGGCTTTCCAGGGACCGATGTCTTTCTAGAACTCTGGAACTCAATGATAACCTTCCCCGATTGTCCTCAGGTACAGCAAAGTTTGTGGTTGCATGGTAGTGATGGTATCAACTTGGCTAGTCCTAAGCTAGGTATTTCCATCTACCCTACAGGAAGCATGCGATTAGAATGCAGCCAGCACGTTCTTATGGTCTACCGATCCTAAAGTGACAATAACCACTTTAAGTCTATGATTACTCATTGGCACAAACATGAGTATTATATTTTTGATCGAATCAGAAAGGCACAAGATACGTGGGAATGACGTTCTAAGCTGTTCGAAGGAATGTGGCCTGGATGACGCGTGTTGGAAGATAAGATGCATGTGAAATGATTTCACTTTCTGTTGCTCTCAGAATAGATCTACACAGAGACTCGATGAATATAATTAGTGCACGGATTAAAAGAAGGCAAACCTAGCCACAGCAAAGCCACACTGCTATGTACGCGAGCATGTAGAACAATGAAGACGGGTGGACCATCGACCGACAGCTCATGCGAGTGTAAATGTTTTGCTATATTCTCCCGTCGTGATTCGTGTGCAGGGTGGTTCGTAGGGCGGTCGGGCCCACTAGGTACTTAGTTTTGCTGACCCCGAGCGGTTTGAAAGTATTCTTAAGTGTACGTACTATTATCAAATCTCTAGCGTGAGGAAGAGTCATATTACAGATGACCTCACCTCTGAATTAGTATTGCGCAGGATTAGAATAGCTTTTTGTACTGTGCAGTACAGATATGTGTTTCGCTTAGTTGCGCCGAGCTTGAGTTCCTCAGCCGACCGCAGATGGCGAAAAGAAAGGCGGATATGCCAAGCGTACTCCAGGCAACAAAATTAGAGATCTAAGTAAACAAAAAGTTTGCGGGAAAAAAGGAACAGAAGGTTTTATATGTAGGGGACACAAATTGTGAAGACCCGCGGGTTCAGTATGGGATAGGTTCACAATTATATCAGCGAATCTAGTTAGCCAGGCGTTAAGCAGGCTGAGGAGAGAGCCCCTTACTGAGCGAGGATCTTGCGACTACCGGGTGACATTCATGATGGCGACCTAATGAACCCTCCAAAGTGTGCTCAATGCATTTCAACGTCGATACGACGCAAAAGTCAACCACCCTCGATCCTTGGATGGACTGATGCTGCAATGCTCACCTGAAGCGTCGAGACCAATCAGTAACTGGGGTTCGCATCAGCCACAGCAGGCTGAGCAAGTATGACGTAGCATGCATCCCACGAAGCCGTCATACTGAGAAGATCATCTCATCGGGATGGCATGAACGAAGGTTTGGCTGGGCTAAGTACAGTACAGTGTATGGAGTCGCCAATTTGTCTATTAACCAGGAATAGGCATTAGGCCCCAATAGTTGGTCTAGTTAGTAGGTACCGTGACACCCTACGCCCTGCTTCCGAAGTGGTCGGTGCAGAGCCAGCGGGCAGTTGCTTTTGCCCACCCAGAATTTAAAAGACTCCTGCGGTCCCGCTCCTTCCTCCTTTCTCCTTTCTCTTGTTCTTCTTCTCTTCTCATCTTCTCTCAATTCTTTTACCTCTTGAGACTCTTCATTCGCATCAAGCCTCTGATAACCAACGTCTCACCGTCCTTGATAACTGTTCCCAGAGAATCACTCCACCCTCCCATTCACCATGCCTTTCACTGCTTCGTAAGTCACTTCCTCCCACAATGACCCTTATCAGTGCACCAGGTAGCTTGCCAGCAGTCTGAACCTTCTTATGATGCAGTTCAGCCCGGGCAGCTTCTGTAGTACTCTACCCGTAGTACTCTGCCCGACGAACAAAGAAGCATCGCTAACACGGGGGGGTTTTTTTTTCTGGACAGTGACGTCTGCAAGATCATCTTTGCGATCATCCTGCCTCCTCTGGGAGTTTTCCTTGAGCGCGGATGCGGCGCTGATCTGCTGATCAATATCTGTTTGACAATCCTGGGTTGGATCCCTGGTATCATCCACGCGCTGTACGTTGTCTTTCCTACCACTGGTTGAGTTGCTGGGAACGCCATTGCTGACTAGCGTCTGCAGCTACATTATCTTCAAATACTAGACCGCCTGCTTGTTCACCGCCCGATCACCCGGTTCAGTCGACCAGCATTCTTCGTCCCACGATTGTATCCCCATCAATCGGCAGCCAGCATTCCAAATCGAACGGGGGAGTGTTGTCCGTGATCCACGATGCTGTCAGCTTCCATTGAATTGTTCCGCGGGCTTCCGACCGGGTCTAGCCTAATTTAACCCCGCCAATTAACCTACCGTCTGCTCCTGCGCTTTACTGGATCCTCGAGCTACACGGGTGGAGATGCCATGTCGAAACACTATGGCGATGGGGTTGCATCTCTCCTATCTTTTTTTTTCCCCCTATGTCTCTGATGTCCGTTTCCTCTGTCGCGATTCCTTTGTTTTCTTCTTCTTTCTTTTTTCTTTTCGATGATACCAGCTCATTGTGATACTGGGCTTTGCTTGTACTGTTGGCAATGATCAGCTTCTAATGATTAATGGCAATAATTCACATTACTTTTGAGAATCCATCGTTCCCCGCAAAAGTATAACTGGGTGCACACCAGGGTAGCTGATCGGAAGATGGGATGGGCTTCTTATTCCCCGACTACACTAAGGCGACGATTGATGGACATTGGTGAAGAGAGACAAGGCCGGAGAGACATAATCTCCACATGTATCAAAATATTTAGGCACAAATCAGCGCCCAAAGGTAAAGAAAAGACATTTGTTCAACTAATGCTTCATCGTGAGACTGATCGAGGGAGCAGTACAAAGACCCTGAAAATCCAAGTCAGCTGACCTGACATCATCCTTCAAGTCACTCTGCAGCATCGGCGCTAACACGGCGCGTATCGCATCAACATCGCTCTCTCTACCAGCCCCGCAGCCATTTAAAAAACGCTAATCACGCTGAAGAAAGCCCATCGGTTGCTACGTGTAGCGCATCTATGGCAATATCGCCATGTTTCGCACAAGCGCCTACAGGGGGCGCAGTCTCAATTGTTATCGTCTCACATTTTCGCCTTGTTGCTTTGCAGCCACTCGGCGCCATGACGGAATTCCGTTGTCTCCTTTGACGCCCACGATGACAAGCCGATGGCAAAATGTGGAATGCGCGGGTCCTTAATCTCTGAAATGGGACGGTTACCCCCTTGACGCTGCCGACCTCCCCAGAATTCCGTTTACCATGTTCTTTCAATCGAACCGGTGCTAGAAATCAGTTTGTTTGTTCGAGCACTGCATGCCTCTATTTGCCAGTGCATCTGTCTTGAAATCTCAGTAGAATGGTATCACGTTTCTACTAATGGTTGTGGAGGCAGATGAACCTCTGCAGTGTCCAGATTGATGTAAGAAAGATCGCTTTCTAATTGCATCATGGAATCATGAAATCGACATGCTAACCTAAATTGTAGGTTGACACAAAATGTTACTGTCTCTTTCTCTTTGGCTACTCATCGCAGCACTATCAGTTCTTCCATGTCTCGCTTCTACTTCGCAATCTTCTTATCCTACCGCGACAGCGTCGTCTTTCCCCAGTCTAATACCCAGATGTGCTCGAGAGTGTGTTGATGAGTTCGTAATCTCCGACTATCCGGATAATGCGTGTGGGAAAGCATGGAATCTCGACTGTTTATGCCGGACGAATACAACCAGCGGCTATACCTTGGGCGAAGCTGCGTTCCGATGCAGTTTGTCGCTGTGTCCCATAAAGACCATCTTCTCCTCCGACCTCTACGACATTTGCGATTCAGTACCGGGAGCTTTGCCGCGGACCCATGCTACAATAACAGCTACAGTCACGTCGACTCAGAGCGCAACTGCGATAGTCACCACTTCCTCGGAGTCTCATAGTGTCGCCTCTATGGTACCGTCTACCTCGCTACCTTCTCAAACGCGAACAAGAACCCAGCATGCTACTTCTGTCGTTATCACCTCATTCGACAACCCGACCACTGTATCTGACATCATCCATTCGACGAGTGACACCAGGACCACCTCCAGCAGTACGACCAGTAGTAGCAACAGTACCTCGACCGCTGCTGCCGCCGCCGCTACAACCACTACGCACAGTAAGCTTAGCGCTGGTGCGGTGATTGGCATATCTGTTGCTTCTGGACTGGCGGGATTTTTCCTCATCGGGGTGCTGGTGTTGTTCTGGTATAGAAAGAACAAACGTCGGGATGCAGAGGCTCGAGATAGGAACTTCTTCGAGATTGGCGGAGTCATGGCGGAACCTCCAGATTTCGCTTTCCCGCCTCGGCGGCCAACGGGACCCAGGCCCATGCCCGCCGGCGGCGTGGACAGGGACTCGGAAACATCACGCTTGATAACTCCTTTCGAACCCAGGCTTCATAACCCAACGTTTGTTGCAGAAATACCACGACATCGGTATGACGAGGGTTCGATGAGATTACATAGTCCCCACAACATCGGTTTCGCCATATCTTCTAATTCTGACGCGGAAGCGTCGTTAGCGCATTCTACTCCACGGACGCTCTCGAGCTTGCTCCCTGAAAAGCCAACATACGGGCTGTATCCGGAGCCACTGAGATGGAGTCGGCAGAAACGGCCCGGCAGTGTGGGAACGCTGTTCGAGGAGGATGTCACCAAGCCACGCAGCTTCCTTGCCAGTCCTCGGTTGAACCAAGGTTCATCTACCTGGTCACGCAAACTTCAACCCGACCGGCCTCATAAAAGAGCTCCAATGGCCGGTCTACCCGCCCATCCACGCGCGATGTTGCATGGTTTCCGAGAGGGCCAAGAAGGAAAGCTTGCTCTTAGAGGACCAAACCGGTATCACGGACCGGGATACGGAAGCCCTGCGGAGACAGCCTCGCACTCGAACAATGTTGTTGGAGGTTCGGCCCTCCCTTCCCCGAGGTTGAGTCACGAAGATTATACCGATACATACTGGACGGACCGTGATGCTGGTCACACAAAGCCTGCTAGAACATCACCTTATCTCGATGACAGCCCCGGGGGAGGCCGGCGTTTGATATACGACACAGATCCAATTCCTTATCACACAGTTAGCGAGGGACCCCAGTCCTCCCGACGTGAATCACGCCATTCAGGAAGTCTGCGGCCCCTCACTCCGGTGCGAGAGATCAGGACACCGAACCTCGAAATTCCCAACTGGCAATACGAGACTCCGACCGGCAGCCGGGTCCCTGTCGGTCTCCCATTCATGCCGATCTCGAGGTCAATCAGCCCGGCGCAGGAAATCGTTTCCCAGCCGCGGATTGTGCGACAGGATGATATTCGGAGGGTGCAGATTCGCCGGGTTACGCCCGAGCCCGATGAGGAGCCGACAGCAGCGGCCTATGCGCCCCGTGGTCCCTGGCATGATGAGGACGGTCATAGTTCGCGATACGGAGCTCAAGCACGCAGGACGTCCCTCGATTCCGTTTCGTCAACCGACAGTCTAAGGAGGCCGCCTGTTCCGAGGAAGCCGGTGCCAATGGAGCAGCGCAACCTGACGCCTTCAAGGCAGGGCTCGGATCTCATCCTCCGGGTGGATTGACCGGGTAATGCTCGCTCGGCTCTCTTGGCTCGCTCTGGTAGTGAGTGGGCCAGCTTTCCTTCTCCATGGACATCGCTCATTACAGTCTCTCCCCGGAGAGGATGTCTGTCTCTTTTTTTTGTGTATTATAAACGATTCGATCTATGCATAAATATATATATATATATATATCGGGATATTGTCGGTACTGCGGAGATATTTTCGAAGGATGCGCTCAGTTGTGTATAAAGTGTTTGTTAGGCGGGTAGGCGGCTGGGTTCGATTTGGATATAGGTGTAAGAGCTTGTATCCAGTTTCATATTAGTCGTATAGAGTTCTTTGGGTCTATAAATCCGAATATACTATGTAGTAGATGATGAACTCTATAGAGAATCACCTTATGTCATTAACATAAACCTCTTCAAATCATAAGATAAGAGGAGCACTACTCTATACTTCATTATAGTCTTCAGTGATGCCAATTGCAAATTGGGATCATTGAATCAATAACTTACAACAGAAAATCGTATTGCAACCGACACAAATCACGTGAAACATCCTCAATAATTGGACACTCGCATAGACATGCTCATCGATGATCTCTGACTTACTGACCGGATACTCCCATGGAGATATTCATTCATGATCTCGGAAATAGTAAGCTATATTCGATTACTGAATAAGAACAGTGGCCACGGAGTACAGCTGACAATCGCCGATGAGCGTCTTCCAGAGCATAGCACCCAGGCTGGCATTCCTCGATGTCTCGACTCTTCCTTCATGGAACGCATGAGTTTGTCGGAGTTTTTCTTACTGTCGGCAAGGCTGGGACCTCACAACAAAGGTCCGGCCTCACCTGAGCGAGCCATCGCTCTTTTTACTCTATCCCACTTTGCTGAAGCTTTTCGAGAGGGAGTTGAGAAATGCTTTGAGGAAGCGGATGATTGGGAGTACGTACCAGGTTGATAAAGAGAAGTGGGATCGGCCTGGAAGGTCTATATAAGGATTGTCGGAAGCAGTCTCGTGCGCTTTGTCTTCTCCTCGCAACCCTAGAAGCAGGCGTCCTTAGTTATTTTTGAAAATTGGGAAAAAATGAAGGATGAATCGACCCCCGCCGCGGATCCGGTGCCCCCAGAGGAGATGGAGATGGATTGTGATCCGGCGATGTGGCCTGAGCCACCGGAGCTGACCATCATCCATTCCCTCAATGAGGCCGGGGTGGCCTGTGTGCTTCTTGGGGATCTGGCGCTTCGAGCCTACGGCCTGAGCCTTTATCCAAGGGGCATCGACCTGGCCGTCGCGGACGAGGACACTCGGCGTGTCGAGGAGGTCCTTGAGGGCCGGGGGCTGGCATTGTGTTTCGACCGCAGGTGCACCCTCTGGGACGAGGCCGACCAATACTTCCTCTCGGCGATCCACTGCCACCTCACCGCTCCCAGAAACGTCAATGAGAGCACTAGGGGGTGGAACAAAAGCGTCCTACACATCTGGGCACGATCCGTGCTCCTGGAGAAGTTGCCGAATGGTATCCCCGTCCCGAGCGACATCACCGCCCACGACGAGGACTTCATGCTGACCTCCGATCCCCGCCTCCCCGAGCCTGCGCCCGACCTGCTGGGCTGGATGCCCACTCGGTGGGTCGGCCGCTGGAGGGCGGGAGTCGTGATCCTGACGCCCAAGAGCTTCCTGGAGCAGATGTTCTGGCACGTGCTCCGGGACTTCCGTCCATACGACGCCAAATTCAAAAGTCCCTGGGAGCTGCACATGTGAAGGCTCGCCCTCTGGATTTCGAATCAGGCTCCCGGTGGCTATGTGCTCTGTCCGAGCCTCGCAGACCTCAGCTGGTCAGCCGCGCGACAGTTTCTAGAACTGCTGACCAGCCCTTACATCGGCCACCAAGACGCATGGAACTTCTTCTTCTTCCTGCAGAGCGTGTGGCACAAGAGCGGGTTACTGACGACAAGCCCGCGAGAAGGCAGGCCCATACTCCAGGCTGTTGAGGGTGGTTATTCCCTGGATTGACTAAGTTGCGGCGAAGATCGGTATTGTTGGTGTTGTCGCCTTCGGCTGGATTGGAGTGTGTTGGCCTGGTCCGCTTTCTCTGTTAAAATTATTCAATAAGAAGAAGTAATAGTACGAATGATGTTTTGCGTCCGTCATGTGTAAGATTTGCCAAGCTTGTTATTCCTCATCCGAATAGCCTGCTGTGCTATTTCTTTACGGGACAATGTAGGGATGACTGACTGGTTGAGAACGACTCCTGTAGCATATAACTACATAGTAAGTCTTAATTCACTCAACTACATGAGTACATTACCTACCTTCACTGTCATAAGGCTAGTGGCTTGGTGAAAGACCACTAATGCAAGCCCCTCTTTTCTATCTCCGGCCGGCAGGGGGAAGGCCGATGGGGGCTGCAGTGTCCGAGTCTCCGAGATGTGACCTGACCCACAACATCCCCGCGGAGAGGATATGACATGCTGAGTCTGGGAACGGAGGGAAAGCAAGCGAGTGCAGTGATATCAGAGTGATCTCGAGAAATCCCAACCAAGGAACCAGAGCCATGTGAAAATCAATCGGAGGGCGGACTCGGGGGGTCGGAAGTAACGGAGGGAGGAGAAGAACAGAAGAGGCAGGCAGAGTGAAGGAGGAGCCGCTCTCGGCTTTTATGACGTCAAGCCCGGCGATCGGTCCTGAGGCAGTGAGGCAGCAACCATCCAATCGGCAAAGGAAAGGCAATCGCATCCTAGGCAGAAGGTTTCACAATTCCACAGTACTCAACTATACCCAGGACTAAACTTGATTGAGCACTGGTCCAGGGGAACCTAAAGACATGTGTAACGTCACCGCTGATTGAATAGGAATTGGATTTGTTGATGGGCCTACTGATGTTACTGTTTTTCATGGCATGATTGTACCACTCCACTTTCATTATTGATTGCGGGTAAAAACGCCATGTACGTACTTTGACCTGTGTCTAGAACAATAATGTACTGTACTGTAGTTACACATGCAAGTGGATGTACATAGTACTCCGTAGTAGGCCGTGGTATTGAGCTTACCAGCGTCGCCTTCACCGCTTTGTGGCTACTCCTGCTGTATGGATTGTTTGTTTAGTATTCATCCATCCATCCATTGATGTCAACGACTCAACCTCTTCTCAACCTCCACCCCCCCACTTTTTCACTGCTCTTCTCGTCCTTCCCTTGGCTCTTCCATCAATCTCAACCGCGTTCGCCTGTTTTATTATTGAGAGTATTATGATATCAAGTCCAACGCGTGTTGGACCGTCAAGTTCCAGTGATGACAGACCCCACGATCTTCCCTCCACCCAAACCGGTCAGCGGGAGGGAAAGTCCAGGTGGAATGAATGAATGAATTTGCGCCGAAGAGCGAGTTTGCATCACTCCCCCCCCCCCCCCCCCCGCCCTCCTCTCTACGGGACTGATGCATGTCCCTTGTTCGTTATCGTTGACTTTTCCCACATGTTTTGGCGCCCTGACCATAGCTCTGGAACGAATCAGATTCTCAGTTTGGTCCATTCACATCATCATCAGGCATGAGATGATGGGGCGGAGTGGAAGTCTGATACAACCCGCACCATAGACGGACCCTCTTGCTTAGGCCTTCAGTTGTCAGCTTTCAACCACCGGAAATGACATACTTTGGTTGCGGTGGGGTTTACATGCAGCTGCAGTGACCACAACACAAGAGGAATTCCAGCTCACCACTAGGATCCAGCGGTTTTCCTCGATGACGGTACCACGGGCTGGGCTGTACTGTCTGTCCCGACTTTTTGTTCGGTGCCTCGAAAACTACGTAGAGCGCATATCCCAGATGTCCTCCACCCACTTGCATGTACACCCTTTCCTATATTAATGGCCCCGGGTCCAATGCATTTCCTTCTCAATCCTCAAATCTCTTCCTTTCATATCCACGGAATAAATCTTTCTTATTGCATCCTTGTGCTGGAACCGCTGCGGCCCTTCCGTTGTGATCTTCCGTGTCCACGCCAATATTGTGTGGGCTACTGTGTCAAAACACATCGATTCCAAATAGACTGTGTACGGAAACAGGTTCTCTTGTGTAATATTTTCTGGCTCCTCAGGATCCAGTGATCGTCTTGTTTACACATACTCAAATTCTTCCGAAAGCTTCGCGGGCTTGCAACCAGTTTTTCCCCAGGGGCAATCCTCTCAGCGATTGATCGATCTGTCTGGCCAACTCAGGGCAGCTATCGTCGACCATTTCTTGTTCTCATCCGCGGGCCCACAACGCGCTCCACCCACCCACACATCATCGTCACCCCGGGACTATCCTGTTCCACGATCCACAATGACTACGACCGACGGTTTCGGTACCCAGAGGGTATGTCGGCTGTCCAGCCTGGATGCTTCTCGGGCCGACCTCTACGGCGGCCCTAATGTAGTCCTCCCTCCCAAACATTTGATGGCTTCTAGCGACTTTCATGATACAACCACCGCAATGGAATTGGACAGGCATCAGTCAGATGTCGAAACATCGTCGGAAGATGGTTCCCTGCGCGTTGCGTCCCCGGTCCCTGAGCGACACCTCACCACTGCTGATCACTTCGCTCTGGGTTTCGACATTGACGGCGTCCTCATTCGAGGAGGAGAGGCAATCCCGGAAGCGGCCGCTGCCCTCAAGTACATCAACGGCGACAACCCATACGGGGTCAAGGTGTATGTTTCTCCCCTGCAGCACCTGTTCGGAAGATTGGCCGGGCTAACTTTTATTCTTGCAGTCCTTACATATTCGTGACGAACGGCGGCGGCAAGACAGAAGAGGAAAGATGTCTGGATCTCAGCCGTCAGCTGGAGTTGGATGTATCCCCCGGGCAATTCATCTGTGGTCACACCCCAATGCGAGAGATGGCCGAAAGATATAGCACCGTGCTCGTCGTTGGGGGTGAGGGTGAAAAGTGTCGTCATGTAGCCAAAGGCTATGGCTTCAAGGATGTGATCACTCCCGGAGATATCATCAAGACACAACACGACACCACGCCATTCCGCAAGCTTACCGACGAAGAATACAAGAACTCTCGGGTCATTGACTTTGATAAGACGAGAATCGAAGCAATCTTCGTGTTTGCCGACAGCCGAGACTGGGCCGGCGATCAGCAAATTATCCTGGACCTGCTCCTGTCCCAAGATGGACGTCTTGGAACTCGATCTGAGAAGTTTGACGAGGGCCCGCCTGTCTTCTTCTCCCATAACGACGTGGTATGGTCGACCTCTCACGAACACACTCGTCTCGGCATGGGAGCATTGCGGGCTTCTCTCGAAGCATTGTACAAAGTCGTCACGGGCAAGGAGCTCTCACCAATCTCTTTCGGCAAACCGCAGATGGGTACGTACCAATTTGCTACCCGGCTCCTGCGGCAATGGCGAAAAGAGAGTCATGGCATCAACAAGCCTCCGGGCACAGTGTACTTCATTGGAGATACCCCCGAGTCTGATGTCCGGGGAACAAATGAGTTTGACAAGACCACGGACACCAATTGGTTCTCGATTCTTGTCAAGACCGGCGTCTACCAGGATGGAACCGTACCCCGCTACCAACCGAAGCATACTTGTGCCAACGTGTTCGAAGCGGTCAAATTTGCTATCGACCGGGAGATGGCCAAAGACGGCCAAACGCCGCTGACTTCCGGGGCTGATCTGGATTCCGGTATCGACTCGGATTCAGCAGCCGCATGTCACTAAATAGAACGCTTACGCTACCAACACTACCATTGATGCTGCGGAAGGTACCGACAAGTACAGTTTGTCCTGATCTTCTGCGACTTACTTGAATCCCGGTTCGTCAGGGCAATGCAGCCTACTATTTCCTCAAGCATGTCTACCTGGTGCATGATTTCCAGGATTCACTTGAGGCATGTGTTTACGATAGATTTCCTTTGGGTGCCACGGGTATGGAGTATGGATACATTGACTTGTCATGGGTTTGGAGTTCGCTTCCTTCTTTTGCTTTTCTCCATTAGGAATTCAACATATCACTATAGATAATTTGCAATATTATTGAATCCTGAACTCATTCTGGTCAAATCTTCGCAAGTGTAGCCTAACTGAGCTGGCTCGCTCGCCCCTTGTGTGTACTTCGAACTTCGAACCGTATAGTCCATGGCTAGTCCAAGACTTGGGTAATATTGCCGCGGCTACTAGACGTGTTGTAAAAGAGGGGCTTGTCGACACGGGCGGGGAACCCTTGTTGCCTTGTTACAGGCCCGGCCACATGCACGTCCTTCCGACCGAGTCAACAGTCAGGATCTGATTTCCAGGACTCGCTCCACCGGGCGCATTGTCCCCGCGAGTAGCAGTGGTCGGCTAGAGCCTGGAGGTGGAGACCTGATGTGCGGACACGCTTGGCCTGGGTTTAACGTATGCAGAATGAGCGCATCAAAGCATGTGAGATTTACATGTCCATTCAGACCATGTGTACTTTTATGGGGAAATCGTGGGGTACATACATATACATATGCGTTCATGTGAGCTTTGTTGAATGACAGCTTTGCTGATCTGATGCTGTAGGCTTTGACTTGTTGGCTGTTCGTGGATTATACAAGTACCATGGTCTTGGAGGGCGCTTGAGTGCGGGGATTGGAACTATGTTCCGCCTGAGGCTGCTCATTCTCCCGATTTATCATTGAGCTGTCATGTTTTCTTCTCCCTTCTCTTCTCCTTCTCCTCCTTTTCAAAAGTGCATCAACAAGGTCCTACTGACCCCAGCTAGAGCGCTACGACCAAGCT